ACTACTACTACTACTACTACTACCGCTACAGCTCCTACCACTACTATAACTATATCCAGCTTCACAACAACTACCACCACCACGACAACGACTGCTATTACGCAGCTGGCACTAGGGGTGCTACAGATATGGGTCTTAATGACAAGCATGAATGTATTGTTTGTCCGTCAGAGTTTGTTTTGTTGTCAACTTGTTGTCTTTCAAAATTTGTTGAATGCATTCTTCTGGTTGTGCGGGCTCGCAACATCTGCAACAGTCCCTGCAACGCGAAGGTTACGGTTTTCGGTTCGAGGGTTTTGGCTTGTCTAGAGATTCCACGGGCTCACACTACCAGCTGACCCGAAGGCTCCAACCAGGCAGGACGAACGTGTAGGGTGCGGTTTACAGTTACGTACAGCTGTACCAGCTGTGGCAATTGTTTTGCGAAGCATGACGCTAGGAGGAAGCCATTGCCAGCAGTGTCGTCCGTTGCAAGCCAATACAACTGGTAGTGATGATAGCAGTTCCTTTATGACAAGCCGTATTGACAAAAAACACAATATGCAACATGTCCCCTAGTGTTCGGTACTATAACTATACGAGAATATGCCGCGCCAAACCTTGCATTGCTCGTGGTAAATTCATCAAGGACGCTAGACTAAACCCTTAACCCCAAACCCTTAACCCCCAACTCCGCTTTACGGATCATTGCGAGACGCAAAGGGTCCTGAACAAAAACCAAAACCCTAAACCCTACGACAGTCAAGGACGCTATACTAAGTCCTGAACCCTAAACCCATAACCCTTGACCCTAAGCCCTAACTTAACCCCAAATAACCTACCTTTTTCAGGACACATATACAGAAATCATATTAGGGAACCCTAAAAAGGCAGGTTCTTTAGGGTCCAGGTAATCATCAAAGCAGCGAAACGGACTGAGGAGCTCTTGTCACCGGATGACTCGCCATTCCTGGAGCACCAGTTTCTCTCAGGCCGGTTTGGTTTTGCTTTGGTTCAGGGTGTGTACAGCCGCCGTGCAGGCTTAAGGGTGTAGCGCTTAGGGGTTAAGGGTTTGGTGGTTCTTTCTGAAGTCCCGAAACCCATCGCCTGTAGCTATTTAACAAAGCCTAACCATGCCCAACAGATCGGGGTTCAACCCTCTGATCTGACCTTCCTTACCTTTGGTAATAGGTTCCTTTAACGGGATCCCTTAAGGGGATCGATAGGGTTTAGGGTTTTAGGGTTTACCTTTGGTAAGTAGGGAATGGAAGAATGGTAGTAATAGTAGTTATAATTGTACCCCAGTCCTCCATTCCCTACTAACCAAAGGTAAGCTTCAAGTTTTCTTTGGCAGACCGAGCCGTTGGAAAGGGCAGTCGGGTGTTTTCTGCACTGCTCGAAAGATCGTAAAAGTTGGAGGAACCACTAGTGAGAATACGATAAGATTTGGAATATTACTTGCTCTAGCAGTGACAGTACCGACAGTATATGCATAGAAGTAAGCGTGTGAGAGGTTTTGCTGCTGATATCAGGTCTGGAGGAGAGTGGCTGCTGGGAGCTCAGAGGCCAAGCTTAAATAGAACAGAGTCGAAGCTCAGCTTAAATCCTGGCGTGAAGAATTTGCAGCTGCTGTATGGACAAAATCCTGCATGACCCTAAGGATTCTAAACTATGGGAACTATGGTATATTCCTTATAATGGGTAATGCAGAATTTTGTCCATCAACAGAATGGCATTTGTCAGTAGGGTTTTACGTCCTGATTGTACTATTGAAAACCACCAAACCCACACCCCAATTCATATGCCCATACTGGGTACCGGTAAGGGTTGGAGAATCCAGTGCTTTGGTTTGCGGTGTGTTGCGTGTACGGCTGAGGGTTAATGAGTTCCCAGATGAGTGATTAACTGGGCATCATTCCAGGCAGGGACCTCAGATCCTTTTTTAAGAAAGGTGTTGTGGGACGACAACGCTTTCCGGCTTCGAAAGGTGCAGATCATGCAGGTCCTAAACCCCGGTGACTTCCCCTATGGACAACTGTATGAGGAACGCTTTGCCGGACATATTGGGAGGCCATCCCTCCTGAATTTATTGCATGATGGTAAGCACAACACGGGAAGACATGGCTGACCAGATCAAATTTGAGGAGGACGGTCAGTTGCCCTACACTATATGCCTGCTGAGATTGCATGAAGAGCTTTTGAAGATACGTTGTGAATTCATACCGGAATTCATACCAACCTGCGTCCCCCACTCTGCTGCTCTTGCCATTAGCGCCGGTTTTGGCTGCTCTGACAGATCTGTGAACGAGCTGGGTCGTCTCCCACGAGGTGACTGGATATGATTGAGTGTGATGTTCGCGTTGCATTCAATCATGTCCAGACACCATCTAGTGAGCTAATTCATACACTGAGGGGTGCATGTCAGAATTTGTTTCAAAGTCAAGCATTGGATCTCAAGTATTGGATCATCATACTGCAATGTAATTACATCGTCCTATAACTACGTGGTGAAGCTTCTCTGGTTGAGTCCAATAGTCGCACCATATGTAGGTTGCTCCACATACTCCAACAGTTTCACCTCCTTCATCGATGGTGTCAGAATTAGATGCTTGTAACGTCGGTAATAAGCTGACTTTAGGGATCGTCAAGTGCTTGATCCCCACAACAGATCGCAGTGCCTGAGTCAACCCGGCTCTTCCTTGTAGCATATCACTATTGAATATCATTCCTGAAACATTGTAGGGCCTGATCCCTATACCCCTGACCCTGAGCGATCTGCCGAATCTACTACCTTGGAGTCCGAATGTCCTTGCTGCTTCAACTTGGATTCCAAGGAGAGGTTTCGCAGACAGGCACAGTCACTTTATGTGTTGATAGTCTTTGTTGCTGAAACGTAGTGACGAAGCCTCTTAGTGTCGTTTCACTTTGCAGACTCGAACTCATATGCCTCGCCTGGTTTGTCCGAGTGTGAGCGCCGAAGCCCTAAATCCTAAGCCCAAAACCCTGAACCCCAAATTCTAGAACCCAGGACTTAACCCTAAAATCCAAACCCTAAAACCTAAACCGTTTCCCCCCAAACTCTAAAACCCCAAGACCCTAAAATCCGAAGCCTTAAATCCTAAACCCCGAACTCTCCAACCCAAAACCACAAAGCAAAGCAAGACGAAGTTATGAGCCGAAACGGTTTCGGTGATCTTTGGCGGCGGCTTTTGGGTTTCTGCAGTTACAAGAGTAAAGGTAGGGCATTGGGGTTTGTAACGATAGGGCTTTGGGTATTGTAGAAAGTAGCTACAACAGTAAAGATAGGGTTTGCGGGTTTGGGGTATAGTGGCTTGAGGGTTTGGTGTCAGTGAAAGACTTTCTACATTAGTTCAGAAATACCTACTACAAGGATGTAGCATAAGAAAGCAGTGTCTACAATCCGAAACCCCTCCCAATCTACTACTCGAAAATACACGCCGCCAGGGCGTACCATACTGGATGTACCATACTGTATTTTTAAGGGCTGACGGCTCCGGGGACGAGTGGTGACGATCTGGGCGCCAGAGTTGCCTTGGTACTGACATCCACGAAGCCCCTTAACCTTCTGGGTTGTCCTTGGGGATCTTTTTGTAATTTCCCCTACTATTTCGTAGAGAACCCTATAAGAGTCAATAATTTTCAAAGGGCTTTAAAGGACAACTCAACCTTCGATTCCTTTGATCCTTGAGCATCCGGAGCACGAGCTGTAGTTCCCTAAACCCCTAAACACTAAACCTATCTTTCTGAAGCCTGGCCTGCCTTGAGCGAGCACGAATCGAAATTTTTCGTAGGCGAGTAACAGAAAAGGCACTCGACAAGCAGAACTTACCTTTGGTTAGTAGGGAATTCAGGAGTGGGGTACAATTATAACTACTATTACTACCATTCTTCCATTCCCTACTAACCAAAGGTAAGAGAAAGCACAAGGTGTGAGCTTGTCACGTGGGTGGCAGCCGCGTTTCCTGCTCGCCGGGGCCACAGCAGAACATCCCGTGGCAAGCATCTCCTAGCATCTCTGATAGTTATAAGTATAGTCACTTGGCAGGGGTTCACCGCCGAAGATAAGGAGACAAAGAGCTTTGCCTCCACTCCCACTTGCAATGGCATTTGACCATATACTCTTTTGGGCTTCTTCAAGCATGGGGTTCTGAATAGGGTGTTCGCTGGTTGAAGTTTGTTCTGAGCGCTTTGAAAGATCGGGCATCTTTTGTGCATAACTTCGAGTCGTATGCGGTTAGACAAGCTCGAGAAGGCATGCTATTGCTTGCAACCGTGGGCACGGCAGAATGTAGAGGAGCATCTAAAGCCATGTGAACGAGCTTTAAAACCCTAAAAGCCGCAGCCGTATCCTTAAGCCCTCAAGGTGCACAGCCTAGCAGTCTTTCAAACCCGTCGCACACTCTGATTCTTAGTAGCTGAGTGCGTAACCTTTAACCTTTGGGGGTTCAATTGGAACCCTAAACCCTAAAACCCTAAAACCCCAACACCCTAAACCCCCAACACCCTAAAACCCCAACACCCTAAAACCCCAACACCCTAAAACCCCAACACCCTAAAACCCCAAAACCCTAAAACCCCAAAACCCTAAAACCCCAAAACCCTAAAACCCCAACACCCTAAAACCCCAACACCCTAAAACCCCAACACCCTAAAACCCCAACACCCTAAAACCCCAACACCCTAAAACCCCAACACCCTAAAACCCCAAAACCCTAAAACCCCTAAACCCTAAAACCCCAACACCCTAAAACCCTAAACCCTAAACCGAAGACCCCGTGGAAGCCGAGCTCTTGCATAGCAAGCGCATGAAGACTGTCATGCTCAGACAGAATGCAAATCACCAAAGCCCTACCCCTTACAGGTCCCCCTACAACCCTGAGCCCTAAACCACAAACCCTGTGGAAAAAGGCGTTAAAAAAACACAAACCCTAAACCCTAAACCCTAAACCCAAGCCCCATTAAAACTCTCAAAAGCTCCATGTTAGACGCATTCTCCCGCAATGGTCGGTCTCGGATTCCTGGTCCTCGGTGGCATCGGAGTCGCGTCGCATGGGGCAGACTTTCCCTCGTTGCTCGTGGGGAGCTCAGGCCTTTGGACATTTTCGGTTGCGGGGTTAATGTAGGGGCCTTGACTATGTTTTGTGGGCTCCTTATTATGATTAGAGTAACCAGGGGCCCCCAAACCCTATTCAAATTATTAAGGCCCTATATTTATTAGATACGTTCGGGTGTGGGGTTAGGGTAAAGCCCTGGGGTAAGGGAGGGTTCACCAATTTCGATTTTTGGCTTATGCTTCAATTCGAGCCAAGATCTTGGTGTGAGTTTGTGTGTGTATGTGTGTATATATATTTATATTTATATTTATCTTGTGTGCGTGCGAATGATGTGCGAGATTGCGCCACCTTCGGTCCGGGCGAGCGCTGCGGAGGCTAGTCAGTAAACATCCATGGAGAGAAGGTGCAGAGAAGGGTGCATTTCATGGTTTGAGGTTTGGGTGTTAATGTTTAGTGCATCTAGGGTATAGGGTAAGATTTAGGCTTTCCGGGTTGAGGGCCTGTTTCGGGTTTAGGGCTTTGCACTTGCCTTCCAGTCAAAGTTTCAGGTCTCTAGCCGGATGTCAGGGCCCGCAGGTTTGCGAGTTCCGGGTTGGAGTTGGGGACTGTTCCGAGGTTCTCCAGTAAACCCTAAACCCCACAACCCCTAAACCCCATAAACCCCTAAAACCTCGAAAGCCCCTAAAACCTCGAAAGCCCCTAAACACCTAAAACCCCTAAAGCCCCAAGCTTATTACCTGCCGAGGTGGCTATGCTCGCACGAGATGAGGAGCTTCTCCTGAAGAAGCACCTGCCAGCTTGGAAGCAGGCCATGGGTTGCGGCTTTATGAAGGTTTTAATGTGCTTTTTGTTTAAGTGGTGTTAGGGTTTGCGGTTTTAGGGTTTCAACAAGTTAGAGTTTGGGGTTTAGGGTGTTATCAGGATTTAATGTGCTTTTTGTTTAAGTGGTGTGAGCTGTGTGTTATGGTGCCATGGGTCGTTGCTTTGGGGTTTGGGGTCAAAAGGGTGCTATCAGGGGTTGAATCTGTTTTTCTTAACTGGCGCTTTTTAGAACTGGGTGTTGTAGGGTTTAGCCGTTTAACATGGGAAACCTAATAGGTAGAGTAGCGTTGAGGGGCATTGAATACGGTATCAAGTGTTGCAGAGGCTACTAGGGTTTCGGCCAATTTCGGCCCAGGTGCAAGATTTTTTGTTTATGACATAAAGGGTTCAGGGATGTTCAGGGTCTAGGGCCTTCGACCCAGATAGGGGACAGCTTAATGCGTTAATGCTCAGGTCCTGAAATCAAAATCCAGATGGAAGCAGAAGTCAAATTCCGCAGGCTGAAAACCTGAACCCAAAAGGTCCTCCGCTACCGTGTAGAGGTAGAGGCCTGATGAGAGAAGCTCCCTGATACAGGGGCTTTATGACTTGAATAAGGTCGACTGATGGGGTCTGGTATACTGTCGTTACATAAGGGCTATTAAGGGATACTACCGTAAGGGTAGTCATACCTAGTTATTCAGGCCCCTGCGCGAACACCCTGATCGCTTGAGCCTTGCTTGCTAAACCTTCCTCTCTTTGAGCGTGAGCTCTTAAGAGTTAAGAACTAGAAAAATCAGATGCGTGGGAGTATATTCACCTGCCGCAAGCCGGAGAGTCATGTTTTGAATGCGAGTACCCTTTTAAAAGCATTGCACATTTTATTTGAAAACAGTTTCTTGCTTTTAAGAAAAAAACAGTAGTTACGAGGGGCCAAAGCCGGAGCCTCGAACCTCCTTCAGCCCTTGCCCCCGGGACGATACGCACAACTTGCAAAGTTTCCCAGAGGCCGAATGTAGAGCTTTGCAAGGAAAGATTCCTTGAGGTTCCCTGTTAGTCTGTCTGTAGATGTGTAGGATAAAATATAAGCATACTATGATGTAGCCCAAAACCCTAGGTCACATATTTCCCAGTCGGAACACACCACCCCCAGACAGAACCTAGCCAGGCCGGAGGCAAACAAACACCGCCCCATTTCATTCTGCTGAACTGTGGAATACTCTGGGGAAGATCTCCAAAGCGGAAATGTCGTTTGACTTGAGGAACCTCATGGGTAGTTATACTTAGGGCAATACATGCCCCGCCTTGCTGGGACTATAGGGAACTCCAGAAAGTTGGAATATGGTTTCAGGGTAGGATACCCTATAATTTACCATAAAGGGTTTAGGATAATCATATTCCAACTTTCTGGCTTTTACCTTATAGTCGTAGCCCTGGACCTTTTCGCACTTTTCCCCGGGCCTGCAAAGTACTCCCTAAACCTTTCAGTTTCAGGTGGGCGATAGCTTCCTCCTTGGCTTGGACTCCCGCACGCAGGCTCTGAAGGGGGAGGGTCCACCTTGAACCCTTGAAGCCTTAAACTTGCAACCCTAACCCGGAACCTACTCCCTAAGCCCCCTTGCCAGGCTTGTCCGTGTGTGAGTATCAAAATTAAAACACCCGGAATACCGAATCTTTAAGCCCCAGCCGATGAAGCCTAAACGGATCCTAAACTGCCTGAACCACCGGCACAAACCAGATAAGACAGCTAGATAGGTTACTAGATGGTTAGCTTAGATTAGGTAGATAGGTAAGAGGGTGGGTAAGTAGATAGCTAGATAGATAGGTACTTGTAGATAGATGGTGAGTGAGAGAGCGAGCGAGAGAGAGAGAGAGAGATAGAGAGAGATATGTATATATATATATATATATATAGATCGATAGATAGATGATTCGATAGATAGATAGATAGATGGGTATACAGACAGTTAGACAAGATAGACAGAAAGATGGGTAGGCAGCTAGGTGGGGGCTGTATACATAAGTGGATGGATAGGCAGATAACGATGGGCCCCCCTTATGTAGTAATTCGAAAGGCAGGCACTTGGGCATCAACGGCAGCGTGCAACCGAACAGCTTTGGCAGCAATCAATAAACATTCAACCAGCACAGTTAGAATGACAGCAGCAACACAGTGAAGGAGATCCGGATCCGCGGGTTGACAGTGGGCTATCAGCACTAATTTTCACCAAAAATTCCTGCAGACAGGTAGTCATCATGGGACGCTTATAGAACCCAATGATCATGTAAAATATCATCCTACAAAAACCGTTTATACAACCAGCCAGGACGACTCCGCAGCTGTGGCCTTGTCGTTGCTGGCACCGAAGCCGCTTCAGGTGCCAGTATTAACCTCGAAGCGTGCTGCGGTAGCCTTCGCCAGCTGGGGGTCTTATGAGGAGTTTAGAGGGGTTTCGTGCCAGGTTTTCATAGCTGTATTATCGGGTTAGTTCAGGAGCCTATGTTTGGGGTGTATGACATGTGTATATATTGCATTTCGCATCATTTGGAGTCCGGGTTTTGTGCACTGCTGGGGTGATCTTCAGCTCGTCGTCGACGTTGTTGACCCCCACAGCCACTAGCCACAAAGACTACGGCGGATTCCGACTGCTACCACCTAGTTGCCACCTCAACTACAACCATCATCAACACTTGTTCTACCAGTACGACTAATTCAGACGACGACGACTCCCATCGCTGCAGAAAGTTTAGCCATGAATCATAGCCTCACACTTGGTAGGTCAAGGGTGCTGGACGTCGTGGGGTTGAAGCTTCAACCACACTAATATCGTCCTAGCCAGGCGGGAGGCAAAAAGATATCGTCAACCACGGAGGTCTATCATTTCGATTTCGACGGCTTCGGAAGCGCCAAGAGCAAGTTGCTGCAGGATGCGAGTCGTCGGAGTCGCTGTTGCGGTTTAGACTTAGATGGTACGACTTTTTAAGTTCCAGACCATGGGGTTTGCAGGGCTCCTTGCAGTTGCTGCAAACACCTTACCTGGAATTTAAATCTCAAGCAGCATGCTCCATGATGTCAAAGGGCGTCGATTGTGCTTTACAGGGCGCGGGCCGCCGCAGGGTTTCAACTTTGGCAGATTCCTCAGCAAGAGTCCACGAGGGATGACATTTTTGTGCGGAGGCTTCGACGACAGCTTGGGAATGTGTCGTCCATCTTGAGATCAATGGAAACTGAAGGCGTTTTGAAGCGTTTGCATAGGCAGAGTCGCAGGCACATGCTTCAGAGCGATGGTCAGCTTGTCAGAAGCCCGGGCAGTCTCGTGTTTTTGAAGTTGAGGCTTTTAGGTTTGGGGTAGGTTGCATCCTGAAAGCCCTAGCTTTCCAACCAAAAACTTCAGCTCTCAAGCGGCTGCAAGCAACACCTGCGTCAGCATCAGGGCTGTCTAAGGTTCTAGCATAGTCCAACCGTGGTCAGGAGTCATACGTGAAGTTTCCGGGCATGGCCTATGTGCTGGTCGTGGAGCCCGACATGCTCCCGAAGGTAGGGATGGTGGTGTGAGACATTCAGTGTTCAAGATTCAAGCAATATAGGGTTTAGGGCACCTTAAACACTAAATCCACCTAAACCTCGAGCCCTGGATGTTCTGTGTGGAGCAGCGATCTTCTACCTTAGCTTTCAACTGTGTCTTCGGAGTTAAACCTGCAACGCGGGCTCGTCCTTGCTAGGTAGGAGGGGGCAAAACCCAGGACAGCAGGAGAGCTCCGAAATCATGAAGATCGCTCTTGTCTCCCTGGACATTTGACATTTCCCCTTAGTGGCACTCAGAGGATCTTATTTCCGAAAAACCCAACATTTTTTTCGAAAGCAAGACTGCGCTTGGCAGAACTTAGGGCACGAAAGCTCAGTCTCCCCCGTCCTCGGCTCCTCGTGTACGACTACCCTATTCCTCAGGACGCACATACCTATACTATCCTACAACCCAAAACCCTAGTCGTCTAGTTATCGGGAAGCAAGGCCCTCTGTTATTGAGTTCAGGCGTTCGAGCTTCCTAAGCCTGGGGAAAAGAAGCACGAAGTCACCACCGACTGCTCAGCTCACACGACTTGCGAAAGGAACGTCTCATGTGCGATGGTGCAGGTCTGATGGGGTTTCAACGGTTCATGCTCGGATTGTGTGCGTCAGGGTTCGGCCTTTCGGGGAATTAAATATGCCGATACTAATCACTCTGAGTCTTCCCCGGTCGATTGGAGGGCTGACAACAAAGTCCTCGATTGAAGGCGGATCTAGCATGTCTTCGTTTGTGCTTTCTTGCTTTAGCGAGAAGACAGAATTTGACATAGCTGGTCTTTCGCTCGTAGTACATTCGGAAGACCCTTCAGACCATCGGGCGAGCCTTGTACACCACCCCCTAACAATCAAAAAGACAATCCTAGGGCTCAAATGCAGAAGGTGTCGAGTTTATACGCCCTGAACCCTGGAAGACAAACGCGACGCCGTTAGGATAGGTTGCGAGCTTATCCTAAGGGTCCATGTACCCAAACAGCATATACGTTGGCCCCTGAATTAAACCCTAAACCCTTGTAGAGCCCTTATAGTAACCCTGAAAGGAACCCTTTGTGCGAGTGTGAGCGTCGACGGGATCCCTACTTGGGTACATGCACAGAGACTCCAATATCCCTTATATCACACGAGTTCTGAGGCACACGCACGGCGAGAGCAGTGCGGCATGCCAGGGTCCGAATCAGCCAAAAGGTCTGGCGAGATCCGCTGACACCCGTATTGGGCGCGAAGCGGTAAACGACTGAATGTGGAGCCGAGCCTCCATCAGTCTCTCGGTGCAACATCTCAAAACAATCCCATCAAGGGGACGGAACACCCCTAAAGAAACCCTATCTAAATCAACGCACCAATGAGACTGGAGGGTGGCCCATCTCAACATATTCCTTAAATTATATTCGGGATCCTACTATAAATTAAGGTATATTCCTTAATTAAGGGATATTGGAGTCTCTGGGTGGACCCTTAGGGTTACACTGCGCGGCAGTCCCCCGACCTGCGAGGGAGCTCCCTTCTCGCGCGAGCCGCTGAGGAGCCAGGAGCCCACTTCGCATTGCAGGGTTCCGGTCGTAAGTAGTCTTCTTCTCAGAAGAAAAGGTTTAGGGCGTTCGCGGTTAAGGAGAATAGGTTGATGGGACTAGGGTTTCAGTTTTAGTACAGGCACTAAGGGTTTAGGTATGAAAAAGGTTCAAGGTTTAGAGCTTAGAGTTTAGGATTTTGGGATACGGGATGAGGCAGAAGTAGTGGTCGCAGCAGCCAGTGAGTGGCTTTCGAGTTTATGCTCAGAAGTCGCAGGACGGTGAAGGGCTGAGCTTTCTGATTCGGGGAGCCCTGTGTAAGGGGGCCCCTAATGTGTTTTCAGATGTCACCCAAGCCTTACAGCCGCAAGCCCGGGTGTTTAGGGGTCGGAACAGTTTGCTGATAATTAGTGACAGTATCCCTTCAAAGTCCTTGCGTAACTACAACATCCCCGAAGCTTTGTTATACTTATTAAGGCCACCGGGTTAAGAGGGTTGGAGGGTTCAGGCCTGGAAAGTTTGGGTGTCCCTGGAGTCCAAAACCTTACGAGGAGCCTGTCTACGCGCTCCGGCGCGGAGGCAAGGAATCGCTAGGCCGGCGGCAGGAAACATCGTGGGGCGCACAGGTTTTGCGATCCCTCCGGGCTTCGGGCCTTGATGGTCTTCACGATAGAATCTTCAGGATTTCTTTATCTGCCCAAGAGAATTTTCAAAATATTACTTTTACTATAGTTCTAAGGGTGGTCTGTTTCATTGAATCACTGGGTTGTCCTTTGGGATCTTTGTTAATTTCCCTTACTATTTTGTAGAGAACCATAGTAGCAAATCATTTTCAAAGGGCTTAAAGGACAACTCAGATCAGTGAAGTACCCAAAACCCCCAAACCCAAAGCTTTACCATTGTGGGCAAATCTTCCGGAGCTTCATTCGACCCTACAATATCGAAGCCCTAAACCAAACATGCATCTGAGCCTCTTCCAGGATTCTTTCCAACGAGCGCGATGTAGCACATATCTGCTTTTTGCACTGGGGAGTGAGGAGGGTTTCGAGTTTTTACCGTTCTGGGTTATGGTGGGGCCGTCATTGAAAAACGGAAACTTGACCGGTAACTTACAACTTTACGACTGTAGGAAGCATGGAGCATAAAAAGCCTCGATGGTCAAGGCCTATACGAGTTGGGCTACCATGACGTTAGAAACGACCGCCGAGAATGTGCACAACGTATCTTCCCACAGAGCCCAATACCCCTTAATTAAGGAATATACCTTAAATTATAAGGGGTTTCATATTATGATTGAAGCTATATTCCCTAATTAGGGGGTATTGGGCTCTCTGGGTTTGTGACCCCATGCCATGAATGTGAACCCGTAACTTTACCCAAAGGCCCCAAAGTAGTTCCTTTTTGGGGTTCGTATATAGAATCTCATTAGGTAATCCCAAAAAGGAACTACTATGGATGGAGGCTCTGGGTAACTTTACATGACACCGCGAAGGCTTTGTTTCCCTTCCGCCCTTTCTTCATTGAACCACCGGCTCCTTTCCTGCCCAAAAGTCGCAGAGACAGATCTCCCCTACATAACCCGTAAACCCTACCACTGCTGCCATACTGAGTGCTTCGCCCTGTGCCCTGTGCGAAGGGGAGCGACTCACGGACTGTGTCCGGCACTCAAGTCAGCGGGGTGTCTATTCAGAGACTTTCCGGTTTAGGGTTAAGGGTTTAGGGTTTAGGGTTTAGGGTTTAGGGTTTAGGGTTTAGGGTTTAGGGTTTAGGGTTTAGGGTTTAGGGTTTAGGGGTTTAGGGTTTATAAACCCTAAACCCTAAACCGTATCCTTGTTTTCGGATTCTTGTTCTGCCGTGCTCTGCTCGAAGTCTGCCGAATTGCCACGCAAACCGGGCAATACTGTTGATGATATAAATCCTGCATTACCTTAAGGACCCGAAACTATGGGAATTATGGCATATTCCTTATTATGGGTCATGCAGGATTTATACCATCAACCGTAGCATAAACTCTAGCTGTTAGCACCGCTCAAGACTACCACCGTCACTGCTACCACTGCTTCTGCTGCCGCTGCAACTACTGCTACGACAACGACGATGAGGACGAGAAAGACGATCAGTGCCACTGCCGCCACGGCGACGACGATGACGACGACGACTACTTCTACTACTACTACTACGACGACGACCACTACTACGACTACTACCAAAGCTATTTCTGGTATTGGTGCTGGTACGAGTACTTAGTCTTGATTGGCAGTCGACAGTAGTCAGTGGCCGTCGTCGTTTCACTAGGCCGGGAAAGGAGTACGGATACAGAGGTGATGATGTTAAACATCCACTGGTCCACTGGCACTGTTTGTTTTTTCTGCACTTGAAGCTGCCGAGCCCCGAAAGCCACAGGAAAAGATTGCTACAGCAGATCCGAGACCAGAAGCACCTAAACCCTAAACTCAGCGGACTTAACGCCTGAAGCCATGCCTGCCTTGTGCGAGTGTGTGAGTCGGAACCCTAAACTTTACACCAACAAGGCACTTAAAAAAAGAACTACATCCCGTAAGGTCTTCCGCAATGATGGTAACTGGTACTTTCGCTTCCGGGTTCATGAGACCCCGGTGTACCGCAACGCTGGAGAGCCTGGCCTCCCGGACGAGATCAAGGAGGGAGTTTCGTAAAATGGGGTGACTAAGCAAAAGTACGCCGCAAGGTGCCCCTAACCTTAAGAAGCCCCCCCCATAGACCCCATAGAACACCCTATAACACCCTATAACACCCCTATCAAAACCCTGAGCCGTAAAGCGTTGTTCCCAGGATACCGGCTGGTCCGTGCTGGAGCTCGAAGGAAGCTCTCGCGACAGGGCGTCGCGTCAGGAGCGAATCCGATCCTTGGCTGGTGGAGTTTAGGCTTTAGAGGAGGGTTGAGTGTAGGGGCTCAATACGATTTAGGGGTTACCTGGACCCTGAAGAACCTACCTTTTTAGGGACTTTTACAAGGAAATCACAATAAGGATTCCGAAAAATGTAGGTTCCTCCAGGTCAAGGTAGGGCATGTGCTCTTCTGTGCGAAAGAACTTGGAACGTCGGCTAACGTTGTTTTGAGTCTTTTGACCCTCAGCCCGATAAGCTCTAAGCTTTAGACTTAGCTATAGATGTAAGTATTAGTCAGAGAGAGAGAGAGAGAGAGAGAGAGAGAGAGAGATGAAAATCGAAGGAGAGGAGCTGAGACTGGTACGGCTGGATCTCAAAGATCATCCTGGGCATCCTCGTCTGATGTACTATCTCGGCGTGTTGCTTGGCATTGCCCAGGGTATGTTTTCATTGGTGCCGTAGCATGCTACGCTTGAATACGCGCAGTCATAAACAATGACCATGAATTTATCCGCGATGCAAAGTGTAAAAATCATTCCTCCGAAAGCCGGGCTTGCCAAATCCTGACTTGCCGGTCTGGTTACAACAGCAAACTCGCAGGGGCATTGCACGGCTTGCCCAGCAATGAGGTTACAATATGACCTTGCCATGGAGCTGAGCAATGGAGGCAGCTGCATGCTATAAAGGGAACTCCAGAAAGTTGGAATATGGTTTCAGGGTAGGATACCCTATAATTTACCATAAAGGGGTTAGGATAATTATATTCCAACTTTCTGGCTTTTACTGTAAGAGCTCTAGGTTGAGGGTTCAGGGGCTGCTCGGAGAAAGAGTGGCAACTTGACTTGAGACTGCGAAAGGCTGCCTGCTGCCGTGTCCTAGAATCACCACAAACCCTAAGCCTTAAAGCCCGCACTCTGCCCTATCAGCACTGCTTAGATTTTCTGGGTCTATGCTTGCCATACCGAGTCACTGAGACTTCTTCCATGAAAGAGGCTTCTGTGCTTTGCCTCTTTTTCAGCTTAGCCCCTTGGGCTGATTAGTGGGGTTTCGGATTTACACTTCCCTTCCAGATTCCAGTGTAGCAAGCTTCTGCTCCTTTTTGCTTTACGCCGCAGTGCCGGCTCATAGAGAGATCCCTTCTCGGTCGTATCGCTATTACCGGAAGCGTTTTGCAGAGGAAACTGTAGATGGATGACGTCCAGGCAGCCAGGAACTCTGAAAGCTCCTGCGCCTCCTAAAACAGCTCCGAATCCTAGGCCTGAAGTTTCCATAGTGGGGAAGAGGGGGTTTAGAAGTACGCTAGATGGGGTTAACCTGGTCGCAATCTGATTTGTAGCGTATTTGCTGAGTCCGCTGACCGTCCGTCAGTTTCGACAATTTCCACGGTGGGCTTGCAATGGCGGCAGCATGGCTGTACCCAGTGCCACTGGTCCTTCTGCTCATCGTCGGCGCTGCAAGCGCCGCAGGGCATGAAGAGGCCGCCACTGCCGCTGAACCCTCGCAGCTCTACGTGGACGGTCTGCCGAAAAAGACTTCCAGCGACCCAGCCTGTCAAGCTCACCCAGGATGCGAACATCTAGCAGGAAACTGCTGCCCTACCTGGGACGGGTTGAACCTTGGCTGCTGCTTCAACTGGCACTCGCCACTGCCAACTCCTCCGGACTACGTGGATGTGGCAGACTCTTCTGTTCCCGGCCCCGGTGGGCCTTACAGGCAGGCCATCATGCGCGACCCGTTCTCCGGTGTGCTGGAAGCAGAGACCATGCAGCCAATCTATCTTCTACCGGTCACCAACGGCCTGAAGCAGCTGGTGGTCTTCTTCGTCTTCGGCTTCGACCTGAAATTCAAGCCGAACTCAGGGACATGGAAGAAGAAGTTGATAAAGTGGCTGGCCAGCAGTCTGTTTCGAGTGATTTTCATTGGGCTTGCGGCGAATGCTTTCCGCCTTGATGTGCAGAAGTTCTTCTACAGGAATAAAGAGGAGAGCTCGCGATATAACGAGGTCTTGATCGCCATGGCAGTGTGGTGCATTTCCCCAAACTTTACCATGGGCTTGGGGATTTGGAATCAACTCCGGCTGCAGAGCCCGGGTGCAGTCTTCCGGGATGATATCGATGAGTCTCGGTACTATCAACTTTGGACGCCTCACATCTACAAGGACGTGCGCTTCCCATTCTGCCCAGGAGGCGCCCGTTGGCTGACGATCGCGAAGCAGGTCTACGCACTTGTGCTGCTGCCCTACGTGATACCCGTAATGTTCCTGGAGGTGCTGATGTCCGTCCTCTTTTGCTACTGGATTGTCTTCAAGTCAAAGATGCTATGCCTCGTCAAATGTGTTCAGGTGCACATGATCACATTGGGGTGTTGTCTGATCTGGCTGTTGACGGCTGGCCACTATGGTGCCGAAAAGATTCACAAATACTGGACGACGCTTTGGCCGTTCGTGTATTTGGGCTTTGCAGTACCATACTTTTCTATTTTTTTGGGGGGACCTGTGACTTGAGGGAAACCATTATGAACTAAAACGAACCTTTTTCTGCCTGGTTATTCCAAGCCCAGGTATATACCCTTAATATAGCATTATCATACACCCATTATGTAGCCCATTTTAGAGTAGGGGTCCCCATTAAGGGGCCCTCCTTTTCCCCTTTGATTCAAAGCATAGGCTAGGATGCCCAGTAGTACCCTTATTCCCTTTTTGTAGTCCTAGGTTCCTTATAAAGTTACCCAATACCAAAAAGAGGGGCCTTTTTATTCTTAGGTTACTGGGTATCCTAGATTCAAAGCATAGGTATATGTACTTGGTCTACATCTTCGCGTCTTTCGTGGTGCCGGTCCTCATGGCCGTTTTCTACGGCATCCTCATCGGCTCCCACTGGTTTCAGATCCCTGGGTTCTTGTTAAAGTTTAGGGCTTTGGGGTTTAGGGCTTTACGGAGTCGCAGCAGGCCAGTTGCAAAAGGGTTTAGGGCTTTAGGGTTTAGGGGTTTAGGGTTCTTGTTAAAGGGTGCATTTTAAGGTACCATCATAGGGCCCTAGAGCAAATAATCTGGTTTCTTGATTATGGTAACTTACTATAGATCCCTATTATGGTAGCTGTTCTTGTTAAAGGGCTTACAGCCGAAGCCTAAAAGTTGGAGACCCGGTAGTTAAGAGTAATGTTTTGGGACTCCCAGCACTCTTTGGCCTTAATCCGGTGTCCAACTCTATGGGGTTTGCTGTAGTTTAAGGTACTACCATAGGGTTCTATAGTAAATCATATGGTTCATGTATTTCCATATCATGGATTAAGGTACCCAGAGGCCCCAAAGTAGTTCCTTTTTGGGATTACCTAATAAGGTTCTATATACGAACCCCAAAAAGGAACTACTTTGGGGTTCGTAGTCCTAGGTTCCTCATAAAGTTACCCAATACCAAAAAGAGAGGCCTTTTTATTCTTAGGTTACTGGGTATCCTAGTTATTATGGATTAAGGTAACTTTCCTTTAACAAGAGACAAGGATTTGGAAGGGCATCGGCTTGTTCCAGGAGTCGAAGAGAAAAACCTACGGTCTCCTCCACAAGGGTGCCAAAAGGGGTACTTAGAAACACGTTTTATTTTTTTGCTTCCTTAAATCCCTAAGAAATAGCTGAAATTATCGTTTTTTCTAGGGGTCTAAGTTCAGTAGAGGTGCGCGCAGAGCCTTGAACATCGCGCCTGAGTCGGGCAGTGAGACTTCGGACGGCGAGGAGGCACCGAGCTACATTGAGGAGTGGTATCTTAGATCCCCAATACCTAACCTTTAAACTTTTTGGGTTCTTATAGTTTAGTAGGAACTGGAAAGTTTAAGCTTTTATTTAGATGGCTTATTGGGGTAGTAAGGTATTACTACATCATGCCGCATCGGGAGCTTCAGCTTGAGCTGGATGATCGGACACTGCTCATCCGCTTGGACGAGAACCGCTTGAGCAAAGATTTCAAGTTCAACGTCCGAGAAGACCACACTTTGGGGGTTCGAGGCGTGAAGATCGTGGAGGCACTGCTCGTCCGACTAAGGCAGCAGATGGAAAGCGACAGTGACTGGGCTCTTGTTCGGGAACTTAGTCGAAGGTGTTCTACATTCTATCGTCATGTGTGCTGGCATCCCAACAAGTCCAATGCTTCAGAAATTCGTAGGGTTCCTCGCAATCAACATACCACGGTATACCCCGAAACCTTAATTAAGGGTCTCCATTATGGCGTCTTCACCCACCATTGAAAGGCTATCTTGGGCAGCACGTGCTACAGGGTCCCATGTCCTCATGTTATGTGGCTAGATGGATTGGGTTTGGGGGCTAGGGTTTTCCAAGTGTTGGTGAGAGAACGGTTTAGGATACAGGGTTGGGGCCGCGGTTACCGGCATATGCATAGCCCAGGTGTTAAAGGGTTCAGGCCAAATCACTTTTTACCGGCTTGGCGGCATTGGTCAAGTCGCTGCACCATGGAGCTCGGGTTGGATGAATTGCGTCTGCGGGGTGTGGAACCAAGGTTGAGGCCGTCGCGCCTGTGTTACAGATCCCCATAATCGAAGCGTCGAAGTTTCTTTCACAAGAACCCAGGTGAAGACGATGCCGGGCTGAACCGAGGATGCTTCGATGTTCTGGTGGGTGAGGAGAACTGTCAGGATGGAGACATCAACATTGACAAAGACCCGACATTGAAACACGACCTTAAGGACAAGAAGGAGAGAAAGGAAAGCCTGCACGACTCCGAGGTTCAGATTGTGATGTTGACCATAAAGTCACTGGCGGAAGCGGCCATTGTTCAGGCCGTCACCATCTTCCTGGTGAGAACGCTGACCGGCGAGACCTTCTCGGATTTCGTGAATGCAATGAATATTACCATCCAGGAGAGGCATATTCTGGATTGGATTCATCACTTGGCAAAGTTGGGTGAGGAAAAACTTGGAAAGGCCCTTCACACAGTCTGGAGCGCCTAGAGTCCAGGTCCAGATTCTTAACCTTCAGAATCGCTTCGGGTTGATGGCACTTGCATTCACAACCCTGGATAAGGACCAGACGCATTTGTATCGGAAATTCAGATGCGATTTCGGTCTGGCCGCCAAAGTCCCAAGACCAGCGGCCAGGGCAAGTCAGGCTGTGGCTCTGCTTCAAACTCTAAACCGTCGTGCAGAGACTCCCGTGAAAGCTGGGGTGCCAGTGTTCCGCAGAGCAGGAGCTCAGACTCTAGACTTCCGGTCCAGAAGCTGCAGTCGAAACCTAAACTAGGTGGCACTTCGGGAAACTTTTAAACTTCAATTATGGTTCCTATAGAGGTACCTGATCAGAAAAAAAACTTCAGAGCCCCAAAACTACAACCCAGTAAACCCTAAACCATCTCCGATAAAATTGGGACGATACAGAGAAGAGTAGCATGGCCAATGCGGAAGGATGACACGCAGGAATCGAGAAGTGTACCAAGAGTGTCAAAACCCTAAACCATTGAGCCCCTGGAGCAGACTGGCCAAGGGTTCGGTTTTGGGTCGGTTCCTGGCTGCGCAGCCCCACGGGAGCAATTCAGGCTCACTGCAAGTGCACGGAGAGCCTAGGGTGTGAATAATTACCTATACTATTTCAGGGGCTTCCTTACTACATTTATAGCATAACGGGCCCCCAAACCTAATTATTAGGGCCCCTATAGCAAACTGTACCAGGCACTGTTCGGCTAGGCATGTGGGTGGTTGTCAAAATTATGGTCCCTTTTTTGGTCCTTATTATAGTACGGCACCTAATATTTAGGGTACCAAAAAAGGGGCCATGATTTTGACAACCACCCATGTGGTAGAGAGCGTCGTGCCCGGCAACTCCAAAGCTAGAGGAGCCGGGCTTGCTAGGCCCCTTGGCGAGTTGGCCCTGGACAACATGTGGGAGTTTCCGGCACCTTTCAAGGGATCCTTTAAGGGTTCCTTAAAGCGATCTACAAGTTTAAAAGGGTTCTATAAAGGGTTTAGGGTTTAAAGTTTCATAAAGTTTCCGAAATTAGGGGTACCTTATTCCTGGGGTCCTTATAATACGGATCCTACTATTCAGGGTACTATATTAGGCTCCCCTATTTCCGGAAACTCCCATGTACCCAAAGCGTCCAAAGTATCTATCTGGCTTAGAAGGTAGGGCTTCTATATTAGGAATTGCTGTTATGATTTGGTGCAGTATCCCCCATAACAGGGTAGGGGTGCCGAACTGTGTAGCACAATGACTGACGACGCTGAGTTGCAGAAACGATCATTGGAGTAACAGCCTTACTCGTGATTCAGACCAAAACAGAGCCAACGTAGCCTCAACGGGCCGGAGCTTCTTTCTTCACTTGAGGTGCTAATGTCTGTCCTGGTCAGATCTGGCCACCGCTGGACAAGAGGATCTGCGCGACTCTGCCAACGAAGTACGAGAAAAGGACTCTGCAATTGGCCTATCGGTACATCGAAGAAGTCCATGACAGAGCTACGTTGCTGTTCTTTGCCTTGCCAGCCTTGCTTGCGGTCTCCAAATCCATGCCAAGCCGTAGACCGAACCCGAAGCGCTAAAAACCGTAAATCTCAACATGTACATATATAATGTACAGTGTACACATGTTGAATCCAAACTTAAAGGGGCCTAAAATCTTAAAGCTAGACCTCCAACAAACCTGCAACCGTGCATCCCACGCCTCAGCTGCTTACCTAGACCCCCCCTCCCCCAACTACCATCTGCTCTGCCCCAAACGCACACTATTACAGACCATGAGCTCTATTAAAAAGCCTACCGGCCTCGTACAGCTGCCCCTTACCCATCCCAGAGGGTCCATATACACTACCATTTTGGAACTAGGTTTTTCTTTTTTTGGGGGGCTGCTTAATTCCATAGTAGTCGTGTAAATGGACGCTCTGGGTACAAGCCCTAACCCCCCAAACCCTCAAGGGAACCCTTCGGCGAGGCTCCTCCAGCGAGGTCCGGCAGTTGGCTTCCGAGGCCCAGAAGACCCTCGCACGGCGCAGCCGCGACAGCGGGACGGAAGGGAGCCAGGAAGCAAGCGGAATTCGGGGTTCTGGGTTTATGGTTTAGGGTTGGGTTTGGTGGGGTTTTAAGGTTGTGCAGGGTGTCGGGTTTTCGGGTGGAGGATGAGGGACAGAAATTCTTAGTTTTAAGGGTTTATGGCTTTGAGCTACGATTCTGTCAGCGGAGACCCCAAGCAGTGTCAGAGTGGCACATCAACCATGACGACCACGACGACTACGATTGTGTTTGTTCTTCGAGGAGTACTTGGGCTTATCTGGTGCATCTTTACTTACAGGCTCCATTGTAGTTCCTTGTTGTGGTTTGCAATTTTTTCGGATCCTATCAGGTAATCCCAAAAGCCTATGGGTAAGTCGCAAACTCAACCCTTCTCCGAAGGAGGGGCGGCAGCAGCGGTCTGCCGCAGCTTACTTTTGCGCCCGCACCTACCTGGACCTGCACAGCGCTGAGCTGATATGTTTTCCTCGGGCTTGAGGTTTTGATTCGAATCTGTAGAGGCAGCTATGACCCGCTGCGGCTTCTAGAAATTCAGGGTGCGCTCAGACATCCACTGGGTAGTGTGCGGACGGCGGTATTCTTTGTAGCTTTATCAGTTTTGAAGCTACGCCGCATAGGAGTTGGGGTGTTGCATGGGCGAGCTTCAATCATTCAGGGCTTTGGTGAAGCACAGGAAGAGGCCTGAATAAGCCGCGTCCATGTAGAAAGCAGAGGTTCAGCGACGAGAAGAAGGGGGAGAAGTGGCTGAAGCGAACCATAAGCTTGGAGGCAGACTTCCTGTACGCGCGGGTGGCTTTGATCCAGCTGTTTCTTGGCGTAACTGGTCGTCGTATATGTAGTGAACCTGCTTGTGCACTCCTTGTTTGTCCCCTGAATGTCGCACAGATAGCTACGCAGGCAAAAGGCGAAGGCCATGTGGCCATACCACGTGAATCTGACGTAGTCCGACTGGACATGAGTGGACGTAATTCTCGATCAGCACGGACTGCAAGGATTCGCGCCCAGGCCCCAGCAAAAGCAGCATTGAAACGGCCAGGGCAGCACACGGAATTTAGCAGACCCTGAAGCGCTCTGCCAAGCCCTTCCTTCACCCAACTCTTCGAGCATTCTTGGGGGCAGAAGTGCCCTCACTTGACAGGCTATTCCGGCAGCAGCGACATCTCGAAGCGTACAACGAGGCAGACCCCATTCTAGCAATGAGGGCCTTCAACAAAAAATTGCAAAAATGGTGCAGGCAAAGACTGAATGAATATGCTTACTGCGCAAGCCCTTTCTCAATGAAACCATGGGCTTCTGCGCAGGGCTTCCTGAAACGACAGTCTTATAAGGCCTCCCCCCAATAAAAGGCATGACCCAAGTCTTTGCCAAACATGACCACCCAAAATCCATCCACTCACCCGCGTAGCCCCTTATTTTGTCCGTGAAGCTGAGGGGTCGAGGAGTGTGCATGGAATCCTGCCACGATTCTCGCTGCCACGACTACGTTACTTCATAACCGCGACTGATCGTGATTGCGAATCTTCCTTGCCAGTATTCGCATGAATTGTTTGTCAACCAAACCTTTTCCTACATTCACTAAACCCTAACCCCCTGACACCGAAGCCGAAAACCTAAACCTTAAACCTGTAATGTCATGTACATGATTTGCATGACGACCTTGGGCTCAAGGCTCAAAGGACCCCCCATGGCTGTGGCTGTCCGGTGCGTATGCTTCCTGAGACACCGTCCCAACGGGTCCTAAGTGCCTACTATACGGGGGACTCTTACCCAAACCATAGCAGAAATTCCCACGAAAGAAAAACACACACTCTTTAATAAAGGTACCTGGGGCCTGATTGGGGTACCTGCCAACTGCAGACTTTCCGGAATGCAAAGCCCTAGCAGGCCCTAGCCCAAACGCGAGCCCTCAAGCCCCTTCTCCTTGCAGGCGGTGGCTGGCGAGTCCCTGGATCCTCCGAAGTTGCGACTGTTCATGGATCCGTGGTCAAAGTTGGGGCTTGAGCATCCAACTAAGAGGTCGCATTGTGATCGCAATCGAAGAAGTCTCTATCCGTTACAGTAGCCGCCGGAAAGTTGGAAGGCGGCATGCGGCAAGGGCATCTTCCAACTTTGGGTCTGGCTGGGTCCCATCTTCCAACTTTAGGTCTCGACGTTGGACCACGGTTTTCCAGGTTAGAAGGCATCTCCTGAAACATAGCCTCAGTTAACTTTATAGTCGGGACCGCAGATTGCATTTTTCCAATTTTACTGTTCCGCATCAAATTCCACGCACATCTCTGGATGAGCGATAGCAGAAGGACGGAGTGCAAGGCACCCCGCATCAGTACGTACAAACGGTATTCAGAAGGATTCGGGAGAGTGGTGGAAATTACTTCCCCAAGCACGGGCGGTTGTAGGGCTATGGTTCACAGTATTCTCGCCCACGTACTGGCGACTTCCACAAAACGGGCCAAACTTCGAGGCCATGGTCACCGTGGTTGTTGGAGACGCCAATGCGTGGGCAAAGCTATTCCGCCTTGCCCTCCAGTATTTCTCAATCCCGCCTTTACTTGGGGAAAGTCATTGCGGGCGTTGTTCTGAATGCGGCAGTACTTGGCGGAAAGCATGTCGTGTGTTGGACCGGATCATTTGTATTTCTGCCAGTATTCGCAATTGGGGGAAAGCACTTTCACGGTGTGTGTTTGAGATGCCAGTACTAAAGGCGGCAAGGTGAAGGCTCCAAGAGTGAGGGCGCGTGAAGGCACGAAAAGGCAAGGCTCCAAGATGAACGTCCAAGGTAAAGCAGCAAGTGAAGGCGGGGTCAACCGAACCCACCCAGTGAAAGGCAGCAAAGTGAAGGCTCCAAGGATGAAGGCACGTGACGGCACCAAAAGTGAAGGTTCCAAGGTGAAACAGCAAGTGAAGGCAGCAAGTGAAGGCACAAAAGTTGGAAGATTTCAAAGTTGGAAGAAAGAAAAGTTTTGTCCATGTTTCAGGGTGCTGCAAACTTGGGTGCGCATCTTCCAACTTTGCCGCTGCTACCATATAGTGGGCAAGCATGCTACTAGCATGATTCTGATTGCAGCAGGATAGTAGTAAGTAGTCGTCGTCGCAGTACTTGTGGTTGTGGTTGTGATGAGCGAACTTAATCGGAAGAGATGTCAGATGTAACCTTGCGTAACTGAGGACAGTGGCCCTCTGTATGTCACTTGGCATGACCGCTTGCCTGCATTACCACCGCTTCTCCGAGAGTTGAAGGGCTTGGATGTTCCGATGAAAGTCTTGCGTTGCGTTACTTTACTTTACCTCACACAGTACCTTACATTATCGTACCCTTCGTGAGCTACCCTGGCCTTACCTTCCCCCTGCCCCACCCTATACCGTGCCTTACCCGAACTACCCTGACCTTCAGTTTTTTACTACATGGACAATACTTTCGCTTCCACTCCCGCTACCCTTACTCTTTCTTTTGTTTTTGCTGTTGTCTTTGCTTTTGTTTTTCCCTTTATTCTGTTTTGTCTTGCCTTACCTTGCCTGCCTTGACCTTATCCTCCCTCCCACTCCCCTAGCCCTGATCCTTACTCTTACCTTGACGATTGCATTTTCCTTTATCTTTGTTCACCTGGCCTTCTCTTACCCTACTTTGGGTTTCCCTTGCCTTACCTTGCCCCGTTTCTATCTTATCCGGCCTCAGCTTGTCTGAAATTACTTAGTTTCCCACTTCCTTCCCGTATCACGCCTGATCCCACTTTGTCATGTAGTATTGCACATGTTTTGTTATACCGTATCACATTCCAGTATGACGTGTATACTTGCGCTCACAGAGAATTTGAGGGGTCGCCTTTCATTTCACCCCGCCTCGCCCTCACTACGCCGTCAACAAGTGTTCATATGCTTTGGGAGTTTCATATTTATTACTAAGAAAGGATTTCGGGGCATAATATACCACAATCATAATAAGGAAGGCCCAAACGAGCATTGGTATTTTTTCAGTTGATTAACCCCTTTATAGTAGACCTTGAACAGCAGGACCCTTATTATCAGGACCCCTAAATATCCCTTACTTTTTGTTATTTATCAGAAGCCACCATCTCGAGGCTTGTGATCTGCCGCTGCTCCTTAGCAAGGCCATTTACTACATGTGCCAGAGCCGCTGTTGAGCAGAATTTTTGTTTTCAACAAAAATTATCTGGTTGGGTTGCCCTAGATCCCTAAATCCTAAGCCTTAAACCCGAACCCTGCACCCTAAAACATCCGAAAACCATATTTCTAAAGACCACGCAAGAAGAGCCCAGGTACGCCGATGCAGCCCTCAGAGTCTCGGATGTAAAGAGGCTGCCAGAATTTGGGAATAGCTTCCTCTTGTAGTCCTTCTGTAATTAAATCGGCTTATACTGTACCCTGAAAACTCAAAAATACTATTATGGCACCTATATTAAGCAACTCTGGACGTCGAGGTGTACATTCAGGCTTCAGGGTCAGCATTCCGTGTGCTTAGATGTAGATACACAAGTTCCACTTTGAGGTCCTACCAAGTTTGACAGCCACGAACTCCTTGGTGCACTTGTCTCAAGACATGTGCAAGAATGCCTGCGCGAGTCTGCAACTACCTAGCGGCTCCATTGTAGTTCCTTTTCGTGGTTTATATTTAGGATCCCACAATAGGGTATTCCCGAAAAGGAACTACAATGGAGCCTATGGGTACTCCTCCCACTCTGAGAACCGAGAACTGCTATTACTCGTCATTGCTCTCTCGCAGTAGATGCTCTCTGGCCCCATCCTTTCCGCGAAGTTGACAGCCTTTCAGATATCCGAACTCCTACAAGTACCCCTCGAAACAAGATAGTCCAACTCCTCCAGTCCTACAAACCTAACCCAGATGACTCAAACTCTAAACCCTGAACCCTAGTATCGTCTACAGACCTCGCCTGGTGTTGCCGAGTGTGAGCGTCAAAAAAAGCCCTAAACCCTAAAAGCCGCAAAGCCGTGGACAAAGAAAGGACCCCGGCTAAGGACCCCGGCTCTTGCGCGATGGCACGTGGCACCGCCGGAAGATGCTCCTGGACCTTGGGGTTCCTTTAAAAGGGTTACTATGCCCATAGGCTCCATATGGTTGATGATATAAATCCTGTTAGCTTAAGGACCCCAAACTATAGGAATTATGGTATGTTCCTCATTATGGGTAATGCAGGATTTATATCATCAACCGTAGTAGTTCCTTTTTGGGGTTCATATTTTGAACCCCTTAACGTCCCTTAAGGTAATACAGGTGCACCCTGCATCGTAGGTTCGTCCTAGCCAGGCGGGAGGCAAAAATCCCTAGCGGGAACTACTATGGAGCCTCTGGGTACAGTAGAAGCCAGAAAGTTGGAATATCATTATCGTAACCCCTTTAAGGTACATTATAGGGGATCCTACCATTAATCCATATTCCAACTTTCTGGAGTTCCCTTTAAGGCATCTATCCGGATGCACAAAGGGCTGCCGCAGGGTCTTTCACTTGAGGGAAGGGCTGCGACGAACTGTTGCACAGGGGTGCTCAGTTGAGTTCGGCAGCCTTCTTGAGGATGTTGGGGGACTTTCTGATTCAAGATCGAGGAGCTTTCGCATGCATCGGAACCCTTCCGGCTGTTAAGATTTTGTGTGGGGTTTAGAAGATTTGGGTTTAGGGTTGTGCGATTTTGTGCTGCGCATTTTCCGAATGAGTCTCAGTGGAGCGCGACTCAAAAACCCTGGTAAAATTCACAGGAGAACTGCTCTACATCCCAAAGTGTTCAGGAGACCTGCACAGCACGATGTCCCGCCGTAGCGGGTGACTCGCTTGCAAGGCGCTTCCCAACCCTTTCCTTGTGAGATTTGGGAACGAGTGGGGTTTGGGAGCGAGTCACGGGTTTTGATGGCGAGTCGGGCTGTGCATGAGATTCGTTACAATGACGCCTACATCCTACATCAAGTCTTCCAAAACCAAGATCACATAGCAATTGGCAAACACGGTGCATCTACGCAGATTCCAGGTTGCTTCCGCAAAAAGCTTCGTCGGCATTTTGTGATCAATGCTGCTCCACTTGTTGGAATTGTTTGTAGGCATATGGTTCCTTGCATGCCAGGAAGATGCAGGACATCACCAAGCTGAAGGACACAAGTGCGGCAAACCGTGGTGTCCCCCCAAGTTCTGCCCCTCCTTCACTGCTGCATAGACGATGAATCTCGCTTGCCGTCTTCACTGGGAGCCTTGTTCGCAGGAATTTTGGTCTTCAGAGCTCCGTGACGAACTCTGAGCGGTGCTGTGAATGGCCAGAACAGCGAGAGACCGCGGAGACGCAGTAGGTTTGTCGTCGTTGTTCTGGGAAGGGTAGCTCCCGTTCATCCCAGACACGTGGGATCGGCGACGACAAGAGCTTGGACCCATCGGACCGCGAGAAGTTCCGAAGGGGAAGCCTGTGGCCCCGCGGCGTGCGCGAGCCCCTTGCAGTTGGGGCTGAGCCACCAGCACGGTCCAGATTCTCACTTGCGAGGCTCCTTGAGTTTCGGTTTTTTAAGGGGATATGTGATAGACCCTTGGAAATGGTATCGGTTAGACTTATACCCCAAACCGTGAACTTCAAGTTAAATTCTGACACTGCCCGTTCTGCACCCCCACATGATGGACATCATTTTCCTCGGCCTTCGGCTTCTGGGGACGCTGCCCGGGCATTCCGGCAAAGCCCGGGTGCAACCACAAAAAGGAGAATGGGGAAGGATTCTTGTAGAGGCTCCTGGATCGTGACGAAATCCTAGCCGGTCCGAATGCCTTGCTAAAAGCAGGGGCTTGCCGAGGAGACTGCGTCGGACTTGTGAGGGATCTGTGGATGCTAAGCTACTCTTAGTAGCTGAGTGGATACACTTTACACTTTTTGGGATAATACTACCCACTACACCTGAAAGTGTACACTTTGGGGGGCTTATGAACTCAGCAACTAGGTACTGGATAGCAGTTGTTGCTGGGCTTCTCTTGCTGCCCTAGCTTCCCTGCCGTGTGTGACAGAGCGAATCTGGATTCTCCTTGTAAGTCCGTCTAGAGCCCAGAGTGACAGGTACGGCCAGAAAGCTGGAACAGCGAAATCCCCCAATCCAGAAGCCGAGAATGTGGGGCAAAGGAACAGACTCTATCAATGTTCTATGCTGCCACTTCGTGGACTGTATTAGCGGATCTTGAGGATTTGCATTCATGATGGGCTTCGGTTTCGCTGCTGCGCGTGGTTGGTTCAAGTAGACGAGAGAAACTTCCCGACCCTAACAGAGCCTCTTCGATAAACTCGAGTTGCATGCAGTCCACAAATACGTAGATCCCCAATACCTAATCTGTAAACTTGTTGGGTTCTTATAGTTTAGTAGGATTCGGAAAGTTTAACATTTTATGTCGGTGGCTTATTGGACGTAAGTATGGCCCGCGTCGCCGACATACCCAAAGGCTCCATGTACCCATATAGTAGGTACTTAGGCCTTAAAGTAGCCATATAGGGACCTCTTTAAGGCCTATAAGTACCTACTATATGGGTACATGGAGCCTTAGGGATAGAGGGTCGAGCCCTTGACTCTGAGGCGTGCAGAGACAACCCACGCTCGGGTTTCCAGCTGGTGGGCGCCGTGCCGTTCGGGGCCAAAGAGGGTTGTCGGAGGTTACAGATTCGGCGGTTTATGTGCTCAGGCTTTTGGGGTTTGCCGATATGGTTTGGGTTGAGAGTTAATGTGTGTTCATATTGCGGTCACTGTTGAATAGTCTTGATTTTGGCTGACATCTCGTCCTCAGCCCCCTGCATTTTCAGAATTTTGCGGCCGGGACAAACAAGCAGAGCCACTTCGTGGGCTTGCAGTCTTGTTCGATCTTGCAGCGCAGAAGTCATGAATGCTTGTTCTCTCGGTTGCTTTTTGGCTGCTGCTGATGGCATCCCTGGCTCAGAGCAATGGCTGATTGGGCTGCGGGTACCCAGAGACTCCAATATCCCTTAATTAAGGAATATTCCTTAAATCATATTAGGGATCCTACTATAATTTACGGTATATTCCGCTTAATTAAGGGATATTGTAGTCTCTGGGTACCTATCTCTCCGACTACGTGGGGGCTGGTAAACCCAAGTCCTCGCACGCAGCAATCTTGAAAAGGTGTCGGGGTTTCTCTGGTGTACCCCAAGGCCCCATAGTAGTTCCTTTTGGGGATTACCTCAAAGGATTCAAAAAGGAACTACTATGGGGCCTTAGGGTAATGCATGAGTACCACTTCATGCTGTCGGTTGACACTGCCAAAAGCACTTGCAGACGTTGTGCCGTTTAGTTACATGACTCAACCAGGGCGCAGCGCAACCTAATGTAAGCTGCCATGGCCCCAAACGCACGTCCCGATGCAACGAATTCCCGACGCCCTAAGCCCTGAACCCTGAAATAACAATACCCTAAAAACAGACTCCGAACCATATGCCTCGCCTGGATTGTCCGAGTGTGAGCGCCGAAACCGTGTGAAAGGATGTACCTGAAGCTGCACAGCGAAGGGGAATTCTGCGAGGAGGCAGACTGGATAGAGGCCCTCTCAGGGCTTGGGGCAACCGGCCTGGGGGCTTCAGGGGTAGGTGAGTTGGGGTTCTACTTGGAGGTTCATGGGTAGTTATAAGTGGGCTTATAAGTAGGACAACTATAGCTATAGTTATAACACATATATAGTATATATTATAGTAACTATAGGTATAACCCATATTCAGGGACGTCTAACTCCACTTACAACTACCCATGAACCTCCAAGCAGAGCAGCAAGTGTCTGGGGCCTTGGGGCCGGGACCCGGGAAAACCACCATTATTATTATTATTATTACTACTACTACTATTACTACTATTATTGCTATTATTATATTAGTATTAATATTATTGTTATTATTATTATTGTTATTACTATTATTATTATTATTATTGTTATTATTGTTATTATTATTATTATTATTTATTATTATTATTATTATTAGTAGTAGTATTATTATTAGTATTATTATTATTAGTATTATGGTTATTATTATCATTATTATTACTATCATTATCATTATTATTATTGTTATTATCATTATCATTATTATTATTGTTATTGTTGTTATTACTATTGTTATTATTATTATTATTATTATTATTATTATTATTTGGTTCTTGAAATGCATTTGCCGGCCCCAGGCAACTGTGTCAGGATGAGTGCGGAGCGGTAAGCCCAAAAAACAAAATCACTGTCATCAACTGCATGGTCAGCGCTCCCGTGGGGGAGTTCGCTCATCGTCGTTGAACATGAGGTTGGCGACGACCGCCGCATGATTGTTGCATCCCTCCTTCTGCTTTTGCTGACATGCTCGCATTGTTTGTGTGCTTGTTGTTCGTTCTTCAACTTCATACCTGTCGTATCCTAGCTTATATATCCTAGCTCCAGGTGGGTGGCAAATAATCCTAGAAAACCTTGCTACATGTTCCGCTTTCAGTCATTGAGATAGGTGCTGTCGGGGCTGCAGACCGGAGTCGGGTGGAGTTCAGCTCTGTTTAGGACGATAGGGCTTCTGGGGCTTAGCTTAGATCCCCAATACCTAACCTTTAAAATTTTCGGGCTCTTATGGTTTAGTAGGAACCGGAAAGTTTAGTCTTTTATTTCTAGGCCTTATTGGTGTAATAAGGTATACATGGACCCTAAAAAAGCTGCCTCTTCAGGACTGGCCAAAGGAAATCGTAATAAGGAATCCTGAAAAGGCAGGTCTCTTAGGGTTCAGGTAGGGCTTCAACGCTGTCAGGGTGCTACACTTCTCGGCTTTAGGTCGAGGTGCTTGATTAGGTAGGGCTTTGGGACATGTTAGATTTTTTTCTTGTTGGGCTTAAAAGGATCTTGTTTCCTAATATCCTTCAAAGGCTTTAAACGCCCCACCTAGTTGAGATGCCAACATCCTTCAACTTACCGCAACCAGCCTCTGGCCTCGGAGAGTCTGCAGACTTTCGGGCTCGGACAAACTACCCAGAGACTTCAATATCCCGTAATTAAGGAATATGCCTTAAATCATATTAAGGACCCTACTATAATTTGAGGTACATCCCTTAATTAAGGAATATTGGAGTCTCTGGGTACTCACCCGGTCGCCTTAATAGTCCTTCTACGTCTGTCTATATGGGTGGTTGTCAAAATTATGGTCCTCTTTGGGTCCCTTATATAGTACGGCGCCTAACCAAAAAGGGACCATAATTTTGACAACCACCCATATACTGATGCTTGAATCTACCTGATGTCCCTCACAGTGCCTATATAAGCTTAGAATATACTCCACAACACCATGTTATAATTCTTAAGCCCCATCGTATTCTTTGCTTGCGCCTAGGACCTATTTCTCATCAAGCAACATGCTAAATCCTAAGCCTAAGCCCTAAACCCCTAAACCCTAAATCAATGCTGGGTCCTTGCTAGGTAGGAGGGAAAAAATCAATGCTGGATTGACGAGTCAGGGGCTCCCGAGAAGGAATTCTTAGGGGTTCCTTGAATAGGGTTTAGGGTTTAGTAGGGTTTAGGGGTTCAGGGTATTAGGGGAAGCGGGGGAAAGAGGGCTCTTGCTGTAACCGGGCTGCTGGACAACGAGGCCTGCTGCAAAAAAGGGTTTAGGGCTAGAATCAGAATAAGAGCAGTACAAATGATCGAAGCTTTCTGATATCAGGCCATGTTGCAGCCGCTTTTCATGCTTTGGTTAATTATGTTGGGTGCGTCCGTGGGTGCTTAACGCGGGGTGCGACTCAACATCACATCCGTCGCTGCATTGCCTTGCTGCATTTTGGCGTTTCGGGCTCCATGCTAGATCATTGAAGTGAATGGAATCTGGCAATGTTTGGCTTCGACAAATCAGCACGCAGAACTTTCTGTTCACACCTAGCGTTGTTGAAGCATCGGATTTTAATTGCCTGTGCAGCATGTGGCTTGGTTGGCGCGCAGCTGCTCTCGTTGCGGCGGCCGCATTTCTGATATATTCCTTGCTGCCGTTCTTAACTCCCGACGACCACGCTCCGTCGCAAGCTCCAGGTAGCTCTAGCTCTGGAGGTGCTCGCAAGGGCAAAGGTGCCACTGCAGGTGGAGCTGTCGAAATCAGAGCCACGTTTTTGGGGTGTCTTTTCTTTGGATGGTCCATAAACCGTAAACCCTGAAACGAAATCCTAAACAGACCCGATTCTTACAGCAATTCCAGGTGCCTACCCGCGCCTTGAAGCCGTGGAGCGCATTTCGGGCGCTCGCGTGTGGAGCGTGGCCGAGCTTGCGCTGCACGACGGTCAGGATCGGAATAGGCCCCTTCTCCTCGCCATTGTGGGGGAAGTCTACGATGTCGGCCCTGGTGCTAGGTGCTGGGGGGCAGGTCCTAAAGTGTGATCCTGTTGGGGCCAGTTATCGCTGATTCTGTTTCGTTCAGAATTCCATCAAGGGGCCCAGCAAAACAGACGTGACCTCGAGGTTCTACTCTCCTGGAGAGGGGTATGCAGAGATGGCTGGAAAGGATGCCAGCAGAGCTATGAGCACCGGCAAGTTCGACGTAGACGCCGTGCCAAGCTTACATGGCTTCTCGGAACAGCAAGTTTCAGACGTCATGCAGTGGCGATCCTTCTACCGGCAGCATGAAGAATATCGTTTCGTGGGCTTCCTGGAAGGCCTATACTATGCAGCCGATGGATCTCTCACCCCGAAGCTGCAGAGTCTGGAGGACACCCAGGCCCAAACGGAGACTGGGCTCTTGTTGAGGAGTTAATTTAAGTTACCATAATAAAGAAACTTTTGTTTACTATAGATCACCCTTAAATGTGACGTAAATTAAACTCCTTTATAACCAGAACCAAGGAGAAGGTGAGCAAGACCATGACAGAGGCGAGGCAACGCTTCAAGGCCTGTAACTCCAAGTCGAAGCAGGGCGATGATAACACGGAGCTCTGGTGTGATCCTGGCTATCACGGACCGGGAACCATGCCCGTCTACCTGACGGCCTACAATCCCGAGGCCAAGAAGAGGGAGTCTTGGTGCGCCTGCGCCTCTCCCTCTGCGCGGGCCCTGGCACATTCAGACGACGATGCGCCGGCAACAGCACCGAATGAGCTGGTTTTCAAGTTTGCAGACTATCCTGAATGCAAGGGAAAGACCCGATGCTGGCGCTCAAAGAAAGCTGGTCCTCCAACCGCTCGCAAAGCAAAGTAACGCGCTGAGAAATGTGGGCCTCAGAGTTTTGCATCATGGGGACCTGCGAGGGTTTCCTGGGATGTCGGTTTAGGGTTTAGGGTTTCCGGTCCCGGGGTGCTGGCCAAAACCTCATCTTGAGGTGAGAGAGCCTGAAATCCTACACTTACGACGAGATTTTGCCCTCTAAGATTCTTTCACCCGTGGCATAGGCCATCTAAGAGGGAGCCGAAGCCGATACCATATCTCGCGGCAGTCTCTGGGTCCTGGCATCTCACCTCCCAGTGGAGCCCAAAAGCCTTCGAACCTCCTCGGTCTCAAGCACTCGGCTTCCCAACCTCCGAACCCAGAACCCATAAGCCCTGGACCCTAAAGCCGAAAGCGTCCTTCATAGGGATTTGTCAACCCAGAGACTCCAATATCCCTTAATGAAGGAATATACCAAAAATCATAGTCATAGTAGGGGTCCTACCAGAGCTATAAGTTATATTCCTTAGTGAAGGGATCTTGGAGTCTCTGGGCTTGCCCCAACTGTGGCAGGCGTCGCGAAGGTACGAGATCTGGCACTGGCCAAGGCTTTTCGTGGGCGTGCACCGCGGCGCAACGATTGAAGGTCTGCTTTAGCGTCTTAGGTTTGCAATGTCCTTTAGAGATCGGGGGATCTTTATAGAAAGCGGCGTGGGATTTCATGTGTGATTCAGGGTCTTCAACTACTAACACCACCGTCATCGTGATAAGCAGAACGAGCCCAAAGAATGTCGAAAGCTTGAAATTCGTGAGAGCAGTCCGAGGCCCTTCACGCCACATCGCGGGCGCCGTTTGCTCACTGCAGCATGGCTCCCAGATCAGGCGGAGGAGGCCGAGGTCGGTGAACGGCGCACTTGTGAAGGGTCCATACCTTGTTGGATAGGGTCCTAGTCCTAGACATATGTTAAGAGCTTGTCGCACTTTGTATCTCAGTTTTGGGGTTTTGTGCTTGGAGGTTGACGACCTGCGGATTTGTGATTGCATTTGAACGTTTTACGGGCGTTTTTGGTTTTGAGCTTAGAGCTTGAGGAGTTTGGTTAAGGTTCAGTTGATCTTGCTGCATGGTTTTCGAGATGTGCCCAACATCGGCACATCTCGAAACCTTGCAAACTTACCGTAAGCCCGAAACCGTACTTGAAAGCCCTACTAAAGCTCTAACGTGCGATGCCCCAAGTAACCAGCAGAGAGGCCCCCCCGTATCCGAATGGCGATGCGCTTCTTGCCAAGGCCTGGCTGTCTGAAGAGGATCGTGCTGAGGCCAGAGCCTGTTAGGGTGTTGTAAGGTTTGGGTGTTGCAGGTTTAGTGATCGTCTTGCCTCGAGTGTGCCTATATGCCTATATGTGCCATGACCTTGCAGAAGTTGCAGTTACTTTTGGCAAAAAGACGTGCCCGATGTTTCCCGGCTGCAAAGCTTGAGCCTCGGCCCTCTCAGGTGCAACGTGAGTTGATGCGTGGACTGCGAGCCGTTTCCGCCGTGGCCTCTGTTTGGGCAGGGGTGGGTATGTAAGATTTCGGTGTTTTCAGGCCGTTTCCGTGCAAGGTCGCAGGAACCCAAGGCACGTCCACAGGTGATAGCACGGCCACACAGAGACATCTGTCCCGACAGCTTCGCAAGAGTAGCTGCTTCCACTAAATTTCACTATCTGCGAGCTATGTCCCAGATTCTGACCTGCCCTAGACACCAAAACCCACAACCATAAAACCCTAAAGCCCCAAACCCTAGACCCGAAAGCCCTAGGGGCACGGGACTGGGCATTCTGTCCGTCATGTTATGCTCATGTCCTGCAGGATTCCGATGGACCCATGAAGCAAAGATGCTTGAAGTACTTTTTCACTTCACTTCAAGCGCAGCACTCGGTGCGACTAGTCCCATCGTAGAGACCGAGGAGCAGTGCTAAGCGACCTGTTAGCAGGACAGGTTCCTGGTGACTACCACCTGGCCTAGTGCCAGCAACACTGCAGGTCCGCTCCGAAGAGCCATTAAGCAACCTACAGAAAAGCCCTCGAGAGAGAGGCGCGTGAAAAGTGTATTCAAAAATTTAGGACAGGCGCGGGTACACCGCAATCCCATCCTCGTGAAGATGAGATGCCCGGCGTGGTAACACCACAATCCAGAGCACATCGCGAAGGCACGAATCACATGCGAGCATAAAAGACGATGTAAGCATTGTGAGCGATCTCCTGAAAGTCAACTTCTCTGCAGACGAGCACAGCTTCAGCATTGTCATTCGTGTAGTACCATCGTCTGTCACCCCTCACCAGGACAGAGCGATAGTGCCCTGTATGCATCGACTCCCCTAAATGAACAACCATGGCTTGGAGGCGGAAACTAGTTTGAACCACTTCGGCACCACACCACATTGGAAGCATGATTTCATGTGGAGTCAAGGCAGGGTAGAGGACCTTCTTGGCAGTGCCCTGCACTAGCCTAAAGCGGTTCAGATGTAGCGCGCATGCCTGGGCACCTGCTGCAAGTGCATGAGTGTGTTCCTGATGCTGCCACTGCGTCACTATGTCTTGCAGTGAGACCTCCGCACCCAGGCGGCTGCCTGCAGTGTCTGAGGCGATTGCTTGCACTGCTGTGAGCGCGAGCGGGCAGGAGGTGCCTGCATCGACACACCCCCCATGCTCCCGGTGAAAAGCAAGCCAATCCTTACTAAAACATCCCGCCTTTAATTGATCATTCAGCATGAGCAAGAAGTCAGCAGCATCGTGCTGCCTGCTCGGTGCCGACCAGTCCCTGAAGGCCTGTCGCCATTGGATTTTACTCCACAGATGAACAGGCCGAACGGAAGACAAAGCGGCCTGTATCAGCTGAAGGACAGCCTGATGCATCACTGCCTGCTGAATGGGTGCCACAGCAGTGGCCGTCCACAGGTATGCAAGAAGACAGGAGTGGGAGTAGCAGAAATTGGAGGGGTTATGCAGCCTTAGTTGCAACAGACGCTTTCGGGATGCCTCGTCAGCTGCTGCGCAAGCGTCTGGGCGAGCGGCGTGCGCTGGAGACGCTCCTCGCGGACGGCCCCTCCGATTAGCTTCATCGATGCATTGCCCTTCAGGACGGACAAGATCTCCCAAATGCGATTGCATCTGGAATCGCGCAATCCCACTTCCATGAGCCACGTGGTCATGGTGCCCTTCATCTCCTCCGTCAGGGGGCGCGTGCAGTGGTACCGCGTGATGACGCCATTGCCCGCCGCCAGCCTCATCAACTCGGCCGTCAGCGCCAACACCTTGTCCAGCGGCAGCGGGTCCCTGGACTCGTCGGTCTGAGCTTTCTGTTCCTTGGGGTTCCAGATCTGGTACGGGAAGCCCTTGGCCTCGTCGTAGATGCCCATGTCTACGGCCGTCTGCTTGGCGTCCTCCTTGGTGCGACTGTTCTCTGCGCGCGTGTGCATCTCCTTCCAGGTAGCCTGAAAGAGTATCACTCTCATCGGGTAGTACTACAGGGGCGAAATAATTACCTACACTATTTTGGGGGGTTCCTTGTTATAATTCTAGTATAGTGGTCCCCAAAACCCCTATTGCAAATATTAGGGCCCCTATATTGATGCATCTGGATTCTTAGTCTTAGTATTGTATGGGGAGGCACTCCTACTACCTTTGAATGAATTATTTCACCGGCACACATTACATGCACACGTACCACATACAGAAGATCGGCGAGCTGGCAGACGGATATGCACTGATGCATACATCCGAACTTCGCTACCTACGTTCATACACGGGTACATGCACAGGTACACGCACGCATGCATGCTCGCAAAGGTACTCTTACATGTAAAGCCGCAGATGCAGATGCACATGAAAACGCACTCACACTGCACACACCCAGGTTTGTCCCTTCTTGTCCGTTCTCTTCATACTACCGTTCGAGCATGCGCGTAAACGCATGCTTGTGTTCGTGTCTCGAAGCGGATGCATGTATATGTGTACGTTTGTGCGGGTGTGTGTTGTTATGTGTGTATATATATATATGGAGGGTATTTACACAAAGAGACGGGTACCATGATTTGGTTAGTCCCATGCTCATGCCTAGACATGCGCAGGACTATGTTGCTGTTGTGTTCTCACCCGGCAAATGATGTGTACACAGACACGTTTGCGATGGTAACCGATAGTGTTGCTTTTCTTGTTATGCACATCCGGCACATGGCGTGTGTACACGTAGTTGCATACATGTAGGTCTTCTCATGCTCAGTGTTGGTTGTGCATGCCATTTTACCCTTTATGAACCGAGGAACGCTCCAAGTGCAGCATGAATATCGCCTTCGCCACAGAGGTGCTTGTCAGCATTTGTCAAGCTGGCAGTCAGTGGAGCCTTAAACTTTCCAGTGTCGCTAGTTTCAGACATCGCTATGGAAGGCCATGTTGTGCGTGGAACAGAAGTATTCCTAGTTCAGGGTGTGGGGTTTGTTGGGTGCTTTCAGTGTTTCAGCCGTGGCATGCTTGGCCATTTGTGTGTTTGGGGCCTTATTTCTGGTTTTTCGGGCTGATTGACCCGAGCATTTGGCTGCGAGGGCTTCATTTACAATAGGCCCCATGATTGTAGTGTCATGTACAGTATTGTCAGAGAGTTATAGCAGTTTGCAAGATGATAGCGCATGGTGACACTAGTGAGGATTTGTTTTGCTGCTGTGAAATTACTATAGGGGCCTAAGTAAAGTATCAATACTATTCAGGAGGTTCCGTATTACAACGATAGTATAAAGGGTGCTAAACCCTAAACCCTAAGTGGTGCGGGCCTCCTGTCGGAGCGGTTGGGCTCACGCCAGGCTGAAAATACGCTCTTAGATGACGATGGCTTCATCCTGCCAGACACCCAGCCGTCTCTTCCTGTCGGCGGAGCCTTGAGCGTAAGATGGGGGGCCTTAATAATTGCCCATACCATGTGGGGGGTTCCTTGTCATGTTGATAGTATGATATACCCCATATTCTAATTATTAAGGCCCCTTTGTGCTAAGATTATAGAGGACTGGATTGCATGGAACTGAGGGTGTGGGCTTCTGGGGTTTGTTGTGACTACCTAACTACCTAAAGATCCTGAAGGTCTGAATCCTAAAGCGATTTATACTAGCACACCGCATCAACTGACCAGGCCGAGGTGTCAGAGACAGCAAAATGGCTTGTTGGTTGAGGCGCACGGCGAGACAAGCGTGGTGGATGAACAAGCAGCGCCTCACCCAGACGTGAAGATTTTGCTGCGTCTCATGCGTTCCAAGAGATCGCTTCACTTTCGTAGGTTTTTGCGATGGGTTAGAGCGAGTCCGGATCTCTGTCTAAGACATTTGTCGTTTCTGCATGTCCTGATGTGCCGCTCAAGGAAGACAGGCTCCACATGGAGAGCAAGCCGCAATGCAGGCAACATGTTCTAGTGCATGCGAGACTAGCGCCGGCTGAAATGCCGAAGCGACCGGATCAGCCAGCATCAGCCATCTTTTGAAACTATACTATCGTATTGTTTTTCTTTGCTGCACCAAATCATACCAGAAAGTATTGTACTATACACCAACGCATAGCAAAGCAACTTGCGACTCTGGTTTCCTAGCGCCAGCCCTGTGTCCTGTGCGGTCGATGGACACACACGGATCTTTACAGATGGGTGGCCAAAGCGAGCTGCCGAATGCCCTGTGACGGCGCCTGGGGTAAAAACGAATAGAGAGCTTAACCCTCAAGCCTGGAAAAAGGGGCTAAATCCTAAACCATTGCATCGGTATGGGTCTCGGGCTCCAGAGGAGCGGCAGCTGTCAGTAATTATCAGAGACGGCTGCAGATCCCTCCGACTTCTTCAGCTACAGGCTGTTGTCCGAAGTAATACAGAGGCCTTAATAACTACCCATACTATTTTGGGGAACGATTATCATAAAATGCATAATATATTGGAATGTACCCCCAAACCTTCTTAGAAATATTAAGGCTCCTATGTATATGTATATATATATATATATATATATATTTTTATTGGGATCCCAGAGCTCTAAGGCAATTAGTGTTTGTCTGCTCCGCCACTCTTCCGAAGATGTGCATCACACCTGGCAGCAACTGATCTTGCGGTAGCATTCCCCTATCCCTCCCAGGACCTCATAGCTAGGGCCCCAGACCCCTTAAAATAAGGTCCCTGGGGGCATAGGGTTAGAGCGGGCTTGAGCTAGCAGCCCCTAGATGCGAAGAAGCATAAAGCCGCTTACTATAGGGGCGTAAAGAATCAGCAATGGTAGGGTGGTTGTCAAAAAATATGGTCGTTGTTTGGGTCCCGATTATAATACGGCACCGATTATTTAGGGTACCCAAAAAGGAACACATCCACCCGTGTTGTGGTTTCCTTATCATAGATATAATACAATGGGGCCCAAAACCCTGTGTTAATTATTACTTAGACCCCCAATACCAAACCTTTAAACTTTTCGGGCTCTTATGGTCTAGTACGAACCGGAAAGTTTAGTCTTTTATTTCGGTGGCTTATTGGGGTAGTAAGATTAAGGCCCCTCTCTATGGGAGTCAGCCTCGAAGCCCAGGCTTCCGTCGGAATGAAGCCCTCAGAAGTTCGGGAAGTAAGATTTGACTTTCTTGGGTTTATCTAGCTCTCACTCTCCTACTGTGGAAAAGTTGAGAGCTCTGAGAAGAGAACTGAAAATCACAACATATGAGCAAGTCTGGGTGCTTGACTGGATTGAACCCTCAACCCTCTCTGAACCCTATAAACCCTACACCCCAGGCTCGTCCGAGTGTGAGTCTTAAACCTCCGGTGTTGTCGCCTTGTTTGAGGTGAAAGACAGGATGCCCGAACGGTCCGAACGCAACCTGGCCGGACGCTTCATGCGTGCAGACCACAGCAGCTCTTACGGTGCTTCAAAGGTCTCTCTCGCTCTCTTTCTTGCTGGGCTTGCAAGTGTTGCAATGAAGCCAATGCTACAAGCAAGAAAGTGCCACTCAACGCTTACATGTCGATGGGTGTTTCCCTTGAATGCGACGTGGAGTTGCCAGGGACCACCCTTATGACAATCCTCGTGAACCCATGAAGTAGACAGAGCCTGGAGTATTGAAGCCGGTTGCTTCAAGCCCCAAGCCGCTTCAGCTGATGTTACGTTGCTGCGAAGTTGTTCCGTGCCAGTCCATTCAGGCCAAAGCCACACTCACGCAGAGGAGGTCATTATCTTTGAGGGGACATTCAGCTGGTGGGCAGCATGGTGCATGATGAATCCTGGATGGGTTTGAGCAGTCTTGATGTTTTGAAGGTCTGCCATCTCGATTCTGAGCATATTGCTGTCATGCGGCGTTATGAGCTATGAGCTTGCGGGAACAAGCCATTCAATTTCACAGCGACTGCTCCGTGCTTTGGAGTTACGATTGCATCCAAGGATTTGGGTGGCCTGGCAGCATGTGCTGCAGCACCTTCATAACCTGTCTCTCTCTCTCTCTCTCTCTCTCTCGTCTGACTCGACGGTTGCACTCGTACTCTCGCTCCCTCACACGCATGCACACACATGAGGCACCGTTTGGCGCTTTTGGATAAACATGATTCGCATGGAGTTCCTGCGTCCTAGGATGTGTGGATCTGTGTTTTGGGGTTCGGTACTTGGACTTGAACTTTGCGTTTGTATCCCATCAATCAGTCTCTCTCTCTCTCTCTCTCTCTCTCTCTCTCTCGCTGTCTGTCTGGTTTAAGGAATAATGTGCATGCCGTCCCACTTGCCCATCACTGCCTGGCAGGTGCTCTGCTTCTTGGCCAGTGCTGTCGGAGGCTTAGCTTCTGGAGACCCCTCTATGTCATCATTGCAGTTTAGGGTTTAGGGGATCGACTTTAGACGTATGTTAAGTGCTATCCAGATAGGGTCGGATTTCGTGTCTGCATATCATTCTGAACTTTAACGCCCCTGAACTCGAGAACTGCGCAAGCTCTGAAGCCTTGCTTTTCCTGAAGTCCGGAGTCTTAGTAGCTGAGTGGATACACTTTATACTTCTTGGGAGAATATCACCCACTATAACACCAAAAGTGCAAACTTTTTTGGGGGGCTTATGAACTCAGCAACTAAGGAGTAGTCAACCCCTTCGAGCAATCGAAGCTCTTGAACTCTGAAGCCGAAGAAACTTAAAGTCCAAAGCCTAGCTCCCAGAGAGCCCAATACCCCTTAATTAGGGAATAGAGCTTAAATCATAATATTAATCCCCTTATAATTTAAGGTATGTATTCCTTAATTAAGGGGTATTGGGCTCTCTGGGCTTATGGCGAAGTTTGCGACTTCCGGACAGTAAGCATAGAGGCCCAAACAACATGTCAGGGTTGAGGGTTTAGGGGTTTAGGGGTTTCGGCGCTCACACAGGGTTTGGGGGTTTAGGGTTTAGGGTTTAAGTTAGATCCCCAATACCTAACCTTTAAACCCTTCGGGCTCTTATGGTTTAGTAGGAACCGCAAAGTTTAGCCTTTTATTTCGGTGGCTTATTGGGGTAGTAAGTAAACATAGGGCCAAACATTTTCCTAAATTATGTTGAGGGCTCCTTAATACAATGACAGTATAATGTACCCCAAGACCCTAATCGACTTGTTAAGGCCCTTATACCTTAAACCCTTATTTGGGTAGACCTTTACAGAACCGTTGAGGAACCCTTTTGGAGGATCACCAAAACCCGCCGATTCTGTTTATTAATGGCCCCTACATTGAACTCGAAGCCTCAACCCTTACAGATCCCTTTAAAGGAACCCTTATATTCACTGCCAAGGTCATGATGGTCCTTTCCACCCGTGGGTCAGCCTTCGAGATCATCTCCGAAGAGATATCCTTTGTCAAGGAAGGGTTTGGGTTTAGGGCTGTAGCGGTTTAGGCTTTGGGGGCGATTGCACAAGTCCTGATGCGAAAAGGTCTTTAGGGTTTCGGGCTTAAGGGGTTTAGGGCTTCAGGGGCTTAGGGTTTTAGGGTTAGGGCTTAGGCTCGAGTTTGGGGTGTTGCTTTTTGGGCCCATGGGCCCTGGGGTGTAGCCTAAGAAGCCCCACTTGTATCTACCTATGGTCCCATTTGTATCTACCTATGGCCTATGGGTATTTTACCGGTTGTGCCACATCGATGTTTTACGAATTAGGATGACTGCGCTCGCTTGGATCTGAAGATTCCAAGCACTACATCAACCGCGGAAGTGAAACCCGAAACCCGGAACAGCAAACAACTGCTCCTTTTCATGGTCAGATCCACGCATACCCGAGCGAACACTTCTTCGGTTACAGATCCTGCAGCATTTTGCTCCGGCCAGGTCGCGTGGTGCGGTGGTTGTCGCGATAGCAAGCTTAAGCCCAACTCTAAGGTATTGTCGGGGCTTTATTTCCAGGAAGTGCGGCCGCCCTATGGGCCAGAAGAGCAGCCTGTGGTGGATGCGCGGCGCTGCTGCAGTGATTTCTGGGGCGCTTTAGGCTTTAAGGATTCGACGGGCTTACCCAAAGTTTCCCAGGCCCTCAGTGAAGGAACGGACCTTGAAAGACCGTCAAGGCAACGAGCCGTGAACGTCGAAGTCTTGAACCCTATGAGTCCTTTGGTCGGTCAATTTTCAGTTTAATTATTTGTAATTATTACTACTAAACTTAGTATTATGACTATTAATGTGGCGTCCTAAATAATAGCCGCCCCCTCACCACCAAAGCTGTTGGCTTCAATAATCTGGTGTTTTTAGGCTTCGGACCGGCCGGTCAGGGTCTGGGTGGCTTTGATTCTTTGTAGGGCTTTGGGACATTTTATGTTTTCCCTTATTGGGCTTAAGAGGATCTTATTTATTAATATTTTGCAAAGGCTCTAAAAGCCCCACCTAGGATTGAGTTAGAAGGGAAATTGGGGGGTCCCGGGGTTTGGGGGCTTAAGTGGAAGGGTTTGGGGGGTTAGCAGGTTTCGGGAGCTTTGGGGTGGCTTTGGGTTTAATTAAATGGGAGGCTTTCGTGGGGCTTGGGTTGATCTGAGGGGCGGGGGTTGAGGTCGTGGGTGCCTTAAGATTGACCATCAGCACACACCCAAAACACACTAATTGGGCCGCCGTTTTTTGTTGGTGCGGGCTCGAGTAAGGAAACAAAAACGCTTTGGATTAAAACGGCCGCCATTTTAGTATGATTGAGATCATTATTGTTGTTCGTATTATCATTATTATTGTTGTTATTGTAGGTGTGTTTCCTAGGATTATGATTATGATCACTACTGTCATTTTGAGGATTGATTACACGTCTTACAGTTAATTAGTCTCACACACCCAATGCCACGAACGACCATTACTTGAATCCTAAGGACCATGCGTGAGATCAACCAGGTCTTTGCCTACCGCTTGCCTCAGACAGCGCCGCGGCCTGCGTTGTGATGTGTTTAGCACCCGCTAAGGGGGGTTGTGCTTAGTGTATTCGGAAGCTTGATCCTTATTTTGCGGATCCTACTAGTCCTTGGGGTCGATATCAGCATCCCGCTTTTTTAAAACACCGAGCGTCGCAGGTGACCCTTGCAGAAGCGTGTGCGCAGGTACTGTAGTGGCCCTATATAAGGCGCTATGCCCAAACCCAAGCATCCTTACAACTTTAAGTGCTGAGGCGCTCTTCTACTCCTTGGCCGGAGCTTCCCTGGGCCTCTTCACCGTCTCCTACTTCACTTCTTTCATGCTCCTTGAGGCCTGCAAGTCCGTGACACAAGAGGGGAACACGGGCAATACAGTGTGGGTCAATCGATAAGGTTTTGAGATCCCAGCGTCCTCGTTCATGTGATGGTCGAGTCTATTGGATAAAGGTTTCGAGTTTAATTAGAAAGTTTGGTGGCTGGTTCTGTCGCGGATTCGAGGTAGCGACAACGTCGGCAACCAAGGCGTATCCTGTCGAGTCTTTCGGGACTTAAACCACCCGAAACTTGCCTAGGGTTCAGGACCAGGACTCATGATCCTTTGAGGGTTCATTTAAGGGATCTCTAAGGGTTCCTTGAAGGGTTTAGGGATTTAGGGCTAGGGGCTCAGCATTCAGGGTTCCGGGGTTCATAGACCTTTGGAAGCCGCCAAATCCCGGGAGGACCAGGGTCCCAAGCGAGTGGTCGACATCGGCTTTCTCATCTCGAAAGGTGTGAACGTCTACATGGGCCGCACCATCCCCATCGCACCGGTCTCGGAGAGGGGGGTAGTATTTCTGATGCTACAGTTAAGGTAGGGAGCCCCAAGGGGTAGCAACTACCAGCTGAAGTTTAAACAGGGTCAGGTTGAGGATTGCAGGTGTTAATTTTTAAGGGGGTTTAGGGTTTTCTGGCTAGCATCCATGGATGGAGACCAGATGCAAGAATCAGAAAAGGGTTGAACGAAGCAGTCATTGCCAACATTGCGGCAGCTGCAACATCAGGGCATGTGCAAGGCATTCCCTGTTCAAAACAGGGTTACCTGAAACTTAGGAACAATATATTTGTGTGCATCTCGGTCGATGTTCCGATGTTTAGTTTGCAGGCATGCATGTTTCATGATGCACTCCTACTTGGCGCTGAAGGGAGGAACGTATAACTTATAGATACGATCATTCGACAGAACGCATATAAGCCTTCTTCGTATGATCACAGTGGTTTCAGCTTTTTGTACAGGACACGGCAGGCGTAGAGCCTAAACCCTAAGCCCCCCAAGCCTTCAATCTCTAAATAAAGCCTTAACCAAAGCCTTAACCCCAAAAGCCGAGTGCCCGTGAGCGAGTCGAAAGCCCTAAGCTAAACCGCTGAATCCCGAAAACCCTGAAGCCTGCACCGTAAACTTCATGTAGGGATCTAGGGAAGGCTTAGGTCTGGGCTCGCGCGGGAAGGGAAGGATTTCACAGGTCTTGAGTTTTAGGGTCGGTGGGGGTTTGCGGGGGCTTACTGCTTGGGGGTTTAGGATTTCTGGGTGTAGAGTGCTTACGGTTCTGGGGCTTTTACAGAGCTTCCGGTTTTGAAGGTCAGGGTTTAAGGGCTCATCGGACCTGTGGTCTCGGAGTTTATCCGGGGTAAGGTTTTATTCAAAATTATTGGGTTTAGGTGCTGACCCGTGGTTCCTGATGCTGAGATCCTGGCATTGCTTTTCCTTGGAGGCTGGTATGCGCCGAGCCCAGCCTGCTCTGAGGTTAAGAAACTTAGTAGCTGAGTGGATACACTTTACACTTCTTAGGATCATATTCCCCACTATAAAACTGAAAGTGTACACTTTTCGGGGCTTATGAACTCAGCCGCTGGGGAAAACATCTCTCTGCATAGTTTTGGGGTTAAGCGCCCACTGGCTTTCATCAGCACCTGCAACGTGATGCTTTGCATCGGGTATCAGGGTGTAATGTTTGTACGTAAAATCCCTGCACTCTCAAGCCTGTGTTGTTGTACACGGCCGGAATTTTGCGGTTAAAAGCTACGATGACGAAGTCTGACGAGGTCCGTGCAAGAGTTTCAGCACTCGCTATACAACAAGTATTTGTTACGAAGATGACTGCAGGACTAGTTATCGGCCATAGAAGCGCGAGCCCTTGCTAAAGCACTTCGTTCACCTGTCGGACCACTCTTGGAGACTCTGCGGAAACCTGTCTCGATCCGACAGAGATCGGAACCAATTGCAAAAAGCATCAAAAGCAGTATCCCTGCGAAAATAGTTGAATATAGAATCTACCCGGAATCCACCCCAAAGCCTGAGCCCTATTCTAAGTGTGAAAGCCCCTATGCAAAGAGGTTATGGGTACAGCTGGTCCTCGTGCGGTCGCTTGCTTCGCCGTTGGTGCTGCGCTAAACTTGCTGAGTGCCGGGGGCCTAGTGCGGGGAGAAGCTGACCCTGTTGTATTGTATGATAGGCTACCACCTACATTTTAGCACAGCCGGCCGAATGCCCAGCGCCGGGCCGGAATTCAACTACCGGGGCTGCTCTGGATCGTGCACCACCCAGGAAGTGCCGAGCCATGCAAAAGTACAGTGGGCGTGATTCGATGCGATCAAGTATCCAGAGAATCCCAGAGACGTTTCCAAATTAAGATCGTTTAGGGTTTTGATTTTTGTAGCGAGCCCAGTAATTAAGCACCATTATTAAGCCCCCAACGATGTCGGCACAAACCGCGAGCGCGCAAACTTACAGACGGCTTGACGAAAACTTCACAGAAAGCTCGTCAAGATTAAAGCCTTCTCTTGCAATGCAGAATTTCACCGGCTGATCGAGGAACGCCCCAAACGGCACGGCAAAGGATGGTCAAAGAATCTCGGGCTCGGGCAAGATGAGACCTGACGGCGTCACAGAAAAGCTCTTTGCACATCCCAAGTAACTCGGAGGCCTCAAAAGGTGGGATGAAGGTATGTAGGATTAAAGATCCCTTATATAAGGACTCTTATTTGGGAACGTCCCACCTACCTTCATCCCACCTTATGAGGCCTCCGAGTAACTCCACATGACACGTTTTGATGGAGCCGTGAAGCGCTGACGACACCAGCCATGAGCATTCACTTTGCCTCGGTCAGACCGTCTTGGATTAGCCTACCCAAAGGCCCCAAAGTAGTTCCTTTTTGGGGTTCGTATATAGAATCTTATTAGGTAATCCCAAAAAGGAACTACTTTGGGACCTCTGGGTAAAGCCTGCAAACCCTAAACCCCTAAACATTGGTCCCAGCCATCTAAACCCGAACCTAGATTCGCCCCTTAGCCTTTGGCCTGAGTTGAGGCACAGGTCGGAGTCAGCGTCACCGTGCAGGGGCAGACACGCCTGGCCCATGCGCCGTTCGCCGAGAGGGCTTTGGGTTTTAGGGCCTTAGGGTTCCGGAAAAGGGTTCAGGACTTAGGATTCAGGGTCTTCAAAGGGATTCCTGAATCCAACCGCCAGCTTGAAGCCTACATGTTCTCCCTGCAGTTGCCCATCGAAAGCGGGCGTGTCCAAAGCCCTACGTCCATGCACCGAGCGGTGGACCGTCAAAGAAGATCAACAGCTAGGATGTCCAGTAGTACCCTTATTCCCTTTTTGTAGTCCTAGGTTCCTTATAAAGTTACCCGATACCAAAAAGAGAGGCCTTTTTATTCTTAGGTTACTGGGTATCCGAGACAGGGAAGGAGCCCTTCAGTTGGCAAGTCATCGAAAGCCTGGGCTCCAAGCTCATACGCACTGTTCCGAAGAGTTCTCTCCCCAAAGGCCCCAAAGTCGTTCCTTTTTGGGGTTCGTATATAGAATCTTATTAGGTAATCCCAAAAAGGAACTACTTTGGGGCCTCTGGGTTGTGTAGCTTTTGTGTTTAGAAACTCCACAACCTACTCCGTCATTCAAGACAGCCAGGCCTCTACATTACGATTACCCTGAATCGCCAGGCCCGACACACTATCTCCTGCTATCGAACTTGGTGATGGGCAAGCAAACGCACCCAGACATGACAATCCTTCGAGCAAAAGCGGTGAGGGTTCAGGCTACAAGAAGCTGTTTCATCAAGTATACTAATATAAGTTGCAACCATGCTCAACGAGATAGCAGCCAGATGCAGGAGCTTGCAGAGGAGTCTCCGAGACATGTTCGAGGAATCCTCCTGAATGTCTCAGCAGTAGTTTGCTTGACCATTAAAGTAGAAGCCAGAAAGTTGGAATATGATTATCCTAAACCCTTTATGGTAAACTATAGGGTATCCTACCCTGAAACCATATTCCAACTTTCTGGAGTTCCCCTTAAGCGATCTGGTTTACATCATCCCAAGCCCTAAATCCTGGCAACCCATGTCCATCTAAACCCCTTAAGTCTACATAGCCCGCAACCCGAACCATGAACCCGAAGCCACGCATCCTCAAATTCTAAAGACCAAACATGCCGCAGCATAAGGCTTGGCCTGGAACTCTTCGACGCATTGCAGATTGGGATCAGGCCAGGGCTACTTTGGGATTCATGTTAGGTTCGCTGGGGCTGTCCCCAAGTCTTTACGCGATAGGAGGTGCTACCACGACCAAGGGCGTCAGGTTCATAGCCCTTGTGTTCTACTTATTCAGTCGAGCCTTGCCGGCTGTAGACTTCATGCCCTAAGGCTCCATGTACCCATATAGTAGGTACTTAGGCCTTAAAGAGGTCCCTATATGGCTACTTTAAGGCCTAAGTACCTACTATATGGGTACATGGAGCCTTTGGGATGTGCGAGAAGCCCTCAACCTTCAGCCTTAAAGTCGAAACATCTTTCTCCTGTTTGCATGACCCAAAAACCCCGACCAAGATCGTGGAGCCCTAGCTTAAGTGAAAGGCGCAGGGATATAGGGTACTATATCAGGGTCTCCTACTTTCGGAAACTCCCATGTGCTACTTTATGATCTTCTCGCCTAGCCTAGTGACTACCCAGAACACCTTGCAGGAAGGCTCAGACTGAACAGCAGCACTCACTACCAAGCATGGAGCTCTGAAGCATTTGGTTGAAGAGGTGACGGTGATGGCGCAAACCGATTTATTTTGGATGTACCTCAGAGGGCTTCAGAAGGCAATGTGGAGCACAGGATGCTGAACATTCGCAGTTATCGAGCCCTGCACGTGCCGATTCCAAAACATGAATCCGAAACCCTGCCGCCGGTGTTCCTGAACCCTGAGCCCTACCCAAAGGCCCCAAAGTAGTTCCTTTTTGGGGTTGGTATATAGAATCTTATTAATTAGGTAATCCCAAAAAGGAACTACTTTGGGGCTTCTGGGTAAAGCCTGCAAACCCTAAACCCCTAAACATTGGTCCCAGCCATCTATATATATATATATATATATATATATATATATATATATTTGTATATATATATATATATATATATATATATATATTTGTATATATATTTGTATATATATATATATATAAGGATGCCCTGTTCTGGAGTCGGAACGCTGTGTTCTGTCGGGCCTGCAGTTGTGGGTTTGGAGGTCCTCGAAATCCGATCCTTAGGAGTTGTCCTGCCTTTTGACGGTTTTGGGGTTCCGGGTGGAGGGTTCTGGGGTTTAGGGTTTAGGGTTTAGGGGGGTTCTGGGGTTTAGGGTTTACGGACTCTTATAGCCTAGAGCCCTGAAGAACGAGAGCCTTGAGCCAATCTATTCCCGAGTACCCCAACCCAAAGCCTGAACCCCACAACCCAAACCATCGGAAACGATTCTTAGCTACCCTAAGCCCATGCAGGAGACCTATCCACAAAGCCTAAGTTCACGAAAGCCTTCATGACAGCCTTAGCCCTCAAACTCTATGCCCCGCCCTCCAAAATAAAAGAGCCCGAAGCCACCGCTCGGCAGGACTGGCTCGATTGGAGGACTGCTGGCAACATCCCTGGCCCTGGGAGGCACGGCGTGCCAGGGCTTCCGGCAAAAATTTAGGAGTCTGCATACTTGGTACTGAAATAATCTCCTCCTTGCGATTGAAAACTTACAGCTCCGCAACGGTGCACTCGGTTGTGCTGAGGCCTCAGGCTTTGGTACTAGTATGTACTAGTAATTTTCCGTGTGCACTGACTCGGGTACGGGGCTTACTGGGGCATTCGGGGGTGCTTTGTTTTCAGGCTCTGAAATCATGTGCAGCCATCGCTCGACGCAGGCATGGCTGGCATGTGGCTCCTCATCCAGGACATTCCGACTAATGCTGAGGATCCAAATACGGAAGCCCCGATAGTGCGAGGGACCGAGCGAGTAGGAGAGGCAGAGGGGCTGGCACAAACTTTGTAGTCGAGACACACAGGCAATGATTGTAAGAACACCACCTTGGACTCTAGCGCAGGACACGCTTTCCTTGTCCGGCTTTGGCTCAGGAGCTTCGATTGCCACATGGCACCGTGGGGGCTGAGGGATTCTGAGGGTTTACGTAGGGTTTGGCAGTTGAGGGTTGTATAAGGGTTTAGGGTTTCTGTTCTTCAGGGGTGCCCGGCAGTCGAAATAGGCCTGGATGCAGGAATGGTTGTAAGGGTTTGACTTGTAAGAAAACAAGGGGCCTCACTCTGGAGCCAAAGGCTGTAGGATACTCACCTTCAGGACCCTAGATAAAATTTTAAAGCACTTGTCATAAGGCCCATACTACCTCAAGACGAACTTCGTCGTAAATTCGCACTTTGTGAGATCCAAAGCCCATTTCCCGCAGACTAGACCAGAGTCCTAAGGACGAAAAAACTATAGTCCCGGCGATGCATGAAAACCAAGGTGTCGTTTTCCATGCGAGTTGGGGGCGGCATTTTCTCCAAAGGAGCTGACATAGGTGCGGATCTTGTCAGTGCCCCGGCAAGATAGAGCTTAGAGTGAAAAGTAGAGGTTTGGGGGTGTGATTCAGGGTTTAAATAGGTTCATGCGACGAAGCGCTTGGATTCTATTGATTTCTGGTTGCGCACCCAGAGCGGGAACTCAACAAAGATGCTGTAAGGCCGTGGGAACTGACGCAACGCAAAGTGGCCTCGAAGTCCGAGAGATTTTCGGGTCAGCACCACGTCGTGCGCTTGCTGTTCTCGGTTTGTTCTTGCAAACACTTCAAACCCAAAGCATTCAAGCCCCGAAGCAATTATTCCCTCAACCCTAGTCCCAACACCATAAGACCACAAATGCAAGATCGCTCTGCCTCTTTTTCGGAGCCTTGCATGGACAGGCGACATGGAGCAGACGCGGATGGAGGAAGACCAGCGACTATTTGAGCTACAAAAGAAGATGGCGGAGTTGGATGTCTTGGCCTCAGGTTTCGGTTTGCCTTTTGAGGGTTTATGTGTGGGTTTGTGGAGGGCGTTCTTGTCCATAATATACCCATCAGCCTTACCCTAACCTCAATCGAACCAAACACGCCAAAGGAAGATCGCAAGCAGCGAGCGAAGCGAGGGGTGGAAGGGGACGACGAAGATATGAAGCTTGGCACGAACGTTGCAGTGTTGGTCTGGCTCTGTCTCTGTGTCTTTTTGTCTGTCTGTCTGTCTGTCTGTCTGTCTGCCTCTCTCGGCCGATCCCTCCCACCCTGCCTCCCCTCCCCGTTTCCCTTTCCTCCCCCTCCCCCTCCCGCTCACTCTCTCTCTCTCTCTCTCTCTCTCTCTCTCTCTCTCTCTCTCTCTCTCGCTCTCGCTCTCTCTACACGCACATCTATACAATTAGTTTTATGTGTTTATCTATATATATATATGTGTGTGTGTGTGTGTGTAGCTATATGTACTTATACCTAACTACACACGCAAGGACATATGAAGGGTTCAGGATCAGAGGTAATATGTGACCCCTTCCCCTCCACCCAGAAAAGTCTGTTGTCGATCTTATATATAAATCCACAATAAGGAACCCTAAGCAGCGGGTGGCTTAGGACTCAGGTAGAGTTTAGGGCTGAGGTTTGAGGGTGTACTGCGTAGGCTGCAGGGTTTTAGGGTTTTAAGGGCTTGCGTCAGCGGTCAGGCGATTGCATAAGCCCCTATGCAAAACAAGGGTTTGATTAAGCCTTTGTAGTTTATAAAAGCGCTTGCAGATTTAGGATTTAGGCTCCAGGGTTGGAGTGTTGATTGTGGTTCAGACCGTATTTCACCGTCCAAGGCCGTCAACTAATCAAGCCGCAACCCTTGAGATCCATTCCCGTTGCTATTTTGCTGTCGTCGTTGTTGCTGGTATTACCATCACTTCAGTGAGCTTGGGTCATGAACCCCTAAACCCGAAACCCTAAGGCACTTCCTTTTTCTCCTGTTCACGAGAACTTCGCATAATGTCAGGGAAAGCACGCCTGGATTTTCAGCACCCTGACCCCTAGACTTCAGTAGCCACCCTATATCCCTAAACCCTGACACCTACACCCTAAAACTCTAAGCTTGTTTGCATTGTTTGCACATCCTGGTAGCAATTACGAGGATGGCAGACTTGCGACGGATGGAGGCTGGTTACGGTTTCTAAGCCAGTTATGGGTTCGAGGTTCAGGGTTTTGGGTCGAGGGTTTAGGGTTTATGAGGGTTTACGGATGAATGTCCACCTGGGGCCGTGTATGGACATTCTCTTGTGCTTCCATGCGCTTGCGCATTCAGATGACACACAGACATGTCTTCGTCTCTGCGTATGTAGTTTCAGCGTAAACAGCAAGACGAGTTCCTGTGCTGTGCGCGGAGGTGTTCTTTCCCCAGCTGAGCCTGCAATATGAGAACCGCCGATGCAGGAAGAGATGCAAGACATCGCTTCACAACTGCACCCCATCGACTACTTCGATGTAGTTGGAGAGGCCAGGACGCCGTGAGCCTAAAACTTCCCCCGACGAGCCAAATAGCAACAAATCATTCGCAGAGTTAAGGTAAATTGGTTTCTTGTTTCGGAAGAGATCGTGAGTTGCAGAACGTGGAAATGCATCATGTGCTTCTTCGCCAGATATAGTATTAAGCTTAATAAAAACAACATGACATGATTGTGACCCCAACGTAGATAATCGCACACTCTCCAAACTCCTAGCCTACATAACTAATTACGATCCTAAAGCCGAGTACCTAATTATTGGGTCCTGTGGACCGTTGGGGTGATTTCTACATGAGAACACAAAATACATCAAGGTAAGTGGAAACTATAGCTACTCCATTAATAACCCTGTTGGAACATGGATTAAGGATGATTACTGCTAGGATTCCCTATACTTTACTTTAAAGGCATGAGGGTAATGATGTTCCAACTTCCTGGCTTCTACTATAAACCTTAAACCTTTGTTTGACAGAGGGGAAACTTCAGTGACAAGAGGCGAGTGTCACTCGGATCGAGAGACCTCGTCTGGCACAGTCCGAGTTGCGAGAGTGTAAACCCCTGTTTGATCTCAACATGCTGCTCCCAGATAGAGTCGTCAGACTCAACAGACCTCGAATCATATGCCTCGCCTTGATTGCCCGAGTGCGAGCCCGAAGCCCTAGACCCTGTACCCTTAAACATGGTTTCGCATACGGTTCAGTACGGCTTAGGGTTTGAGGTTGTGCGGTTTATGGCCAGGGTCTAGGCTGGTTTAGGGTTTTGGAACTTGATGTTGGGCCAACCGTCAATGGTTCAATGATGTTGCATAGCACGTTGCAGTTTTTGTCTCAGGGCTTCGAGGTTTAGCATTATTCGGCTGGGAAATGTGTTCCAGGGAGTGCTGCTCACATGCTATTAAGTCTTCCGACATGTTTTCCCGTCGAAAACATCAATCCCACGAACTCGAGATTCCGAAAACCTAAGCAAACCCCCAACTATGTGAACCTTGAGTTATACACAGCCTCGCCGGTCGGTGAAGTTGTGTGCTTCGAAACCCTTCACATCCTACACCGTTCTAAACTCGCCTCAACCCTTGTGCTCGAAGCCCTGCAAATCCTCAAGCTAACAGCAGGCCATCAACGACGTCTCCGGGACTTGTGCGGATCTCTTTGAGTCAATGGTACTGACCCTGAGCCGATGATAGTGTGAAGTTTTGAGCGTAGCTGGTTTCGGCTAGTTGAGGGGCCAGGCCGAAACCTGGCTTAGCAGTTTGATGGTGATTATTCTTGCTCCATCTTCGCAGTCTTTCCTACACTTGGACGTCAGCAAAGATTCTGGAAACCACTTTAGGGGCTTAAATTATTACGAATTGTATTCCTGAAGGCTCGGTGAGTGTTTAGAACAATGCACCCTCAAGTCCTTCTTCCAACTTTTGCAGGCCGCTGGGTTTAGGGTTTAGGGTTGTCGTAAGCACTGAGATGCCCGATCTTCTGGTGGTCGGGGAGCCCTGCTATGGATGGTGCATGCGGCCTGGGTGTGCCCCACAGTCACCCATGTCGCAAGCACACCTTCAGCCTTAAACCTTACACTCCAAGCTTGAACTTTTTCAGACTACACCTGAAAGAGTTCCTGCCCTAACTGTAGCCCATGGCGCCTGCTCCCAGCCATGAATTCCCCAAACAACCTTAAACCCTCAACCCTAAACCCCCTGCGCTGCAATGCCGGCTCGTTCTTCTCTGGGTTGTCCTTTGGGATCTTTCTTAAGTTCCCCTACTATTTTGTAGAGAACTATAATAGTAAATAATTTTCAAAGGGCTTCAAGGACAACTCAGTTCTAGGTAGGAGAGAAAAACCCCTAAGCCCTTAAATCCTGAACCCCAAGTTTGATCTCAGGATCCTCGGCACTTGCACCATCATCGGCGTGAAAGGCAGCCCCGTGCCTTGGCTGATGGTAGCATGGATGCTTTGCTATATATATATATATATATATGTATATATATGTATATATAGATAGTTATTTAATTGGTCCTTTACGATTAGAATACGGTTTCCGGACCCATTATACCATAATTAAAATTGGGTGTGGGTGCCCAGTATGCTATAAACATGCTAATGAACCCTAAGAAACTGTGTTTGTAATTATTGAGGCTTCTATAGTCCGGATTGTAGGCGGTTTGGGGGTGTTGGAGTTTAGGGTGTTGGGGCCTAGGATTTTGTAGAGAATTTTGGGCTGTAGGGCAGTTTCGGAGGCTTTGAGGGTCTAGATGCTTTACCGGATTTGCATAGGATTTGGAATATACAGTAGAAGCCAGAAAGTTGGAATATGATTATCCTAAACCCTTTATGGTAAATTATAGGGTATCCTACCCTGAAACCATATTCCAACTTTCTGGAGTTCCCTTTACAGGTTTGGTTTGTTCGGGGCATCGCAGCGAATTTGATTACGCTTTGGTGCTTAAGGGGTGCAGTCTCCCAAGCTCATGGGTTGGGTTGAGGGATTAGGGTCGATGGTTGACGGATGGTTCGGGTTTAGGGAGTTTTGGGTCTGACTGGCGTAGGAGATTCAGGGCGGCAGGGGCACGGTCCTGTGATTTATTGAGTGCCCATCGAGACTCCCCAAGAGAGGATTTGGAGTTCAAGGTTGGGGGATTGAACTTCGAGGCCCGGGACCCTGCGACTCGGATTTACGAGGCTTCCGGTGAAGGGTTCGAGTTTAGGGTTTAGGATGCCCAGTAGTACCCTTATTCCCTTTTTGTAGTCCTAGGTTCCTTATAAAGTTACCCAATACCAAAAAGAGAGGCCTTTTTATTCTTAGGTTACTGGGTATCCTAGGGTTTAAGTTTAGGGTAGCCCCTCTTCAAACCCGTCTTCAAAAAGGTTGTTGGAGTTCGTCGGCTCGAAGATGTGCTCGCTGCTATTGGCTAGTTGTGACCTTCACTAGATGAGATCGCCATGACAGGGTTTTTTGCAACACGCCGAAAACCCCAAACCATTTGAGCCCTAACTCGAAACCCGTTAAGAGGCTAAGAGGCCCTCCACACCCTCATAGCCCAAAGCCCTACACACCCGAAAGCTCTACAACAAAAGCCCGAAGCCGAAGCCCCCTGCTGCGAGGTTCCGTATTATATGAAGGCCCCTATAGTATCGTACCTTTATAGATCCCTTATAGTGACCCCTTGAAAGGAACCCTATTCTAACTATGAAGGCCCTACCCTAAACCTAACCCCTAAACCCCTAAACTCCTAAACCTCTAAACCCTATCTGTATCTTTGCGCGACGGAAAAGGGTCCTTCAAAAAAAACCCTAAACCTTAAACCCGAACCCGAAACCGCCCCTAGATAAAGCCGAAGCCCCTTGGCTGTGAGGTTCCCTCCTTCAACTCTGGCCTGCCTTTTTGGATCATTGCATCCGGCAAGGCTCGGTTCGAGGGTTAACTGCTCTTAGGAATTTGGGGTTTTAGGGTTTAAGAATTTAGGGTTTTAGGGTTTGGGGAAGTATGGGTTGTCTTTATCTAAATACATCCGTTCTTACGCTTGTCACATGTACGAATTGCTTTCAGCCCTGCTACTGTATTGATGTTGTACGACGTTATACATGACACGTTTTTTTTTGCTCGCGACGTCATTCGCGAAAGCAAAGGATCTGCATGTGTGTTGCCAGCAGTTTTGTTGTTGTGTTTGCGGCGTTCAAAGATTGACCACAAATCCTGAACCATGGTGCTCTAGAAACCAAACTCCAGTTCCTGTGGACTCCTTCCTGAACAGGGCATAGTTTAGGGGTTTGGGATTAAGGGATGCTTTGCCTAGTTGGGGTTTTGTGCTTCATGGGTTCTTGGGTACGCCGCGGAGTGAACGGGGCGAGTGTTTGCCTTAGCGTTGGCATGATTGCGACGATTGTCGTTGCTATCCGCGCTGTTGTTATTGTGTTGCTGGTTTCCTCACATATATATATATATATATATGTGTCCATGCATGCGTATAGATTTATAATTTGAATTGGCATGTGTAATTACTCTGTAGTTGTAGATTACAAGGCTGTAGGGGGAGCCTGTCACAGGATTGGAATCGTTACAAAATGGGATCGAAACTTGAACACTTTAGCAGTCAAGCCCGAAACTGCAAACTTTCATAACCCTAAGCCCTAAACCCTAACCTAACCTTAATCCCTAAACTTGCTGGGCGGGTGGCAAAAGAACCCTAAGCCTCTAATCTAACCTTAAACCCTAAACCCTTAATTTTTTGGGTTGTTCCTTGGTGGCTAACCCCTAACCCCTAAACCCCTAACCTAACTCCAATCCCAAAATTGGCAGGTGGGTTGTTCCTTGGTACTCTATAACCCTAAACCCCAACCCGAAACCCTAACCTAATCCTAATCCCGAAGTTGGCAGGTGGGTTGTTCCTTGGTACTTTATAACCCTAAACCCTTACCCCTAACCCCTAAACCCCTAACCTAAATTTGCAGGTGGATTGTTCCTTGGTACTTTATAACCCTAAGCCCTAAACACAGCGGACCTACCGCTTCTCGGATTCTTGCGAAGCCGAAAAAGGGACATTAAACACAAAAAACCTACCCCCTAAACCCCTAAACCCCTAACCTAAATTTGCAGGTGGATTGTTCCTTGGTACTTTATAACCCTAAGCCCTAAACACAGCGGACCTACCGCTTCTCGGATTCTTGCGAAGCCGAAAAAGGGACATTAACAACAAGAAACCTACCCCCTAAACCCCTAACCAAACCTAACCCTGACCCCTAAGTGACCAGGATTGCTACAGACCTTGCCAGGCTTTGTCCGAGTGTGAGTGTCAAAAAACCTTGGCAGGTGGGTTGTTCCTTGGTACTCTATAACCCTAAACCCTAGCCCGAAACCCTAACCTAACCCTAATCCCGAAATTGGCAGGTGGGTTGTTCCTTGGTGGCTTACTTTGTCCACGTCCACGAGCGATTCACGGCGAAGCGGATACGCTGGAGCCTGCGAGCCGCTAGGGAACATCTCAAAGGGCTTACAAGGGAGTTTCCGAAAAGTAGGGTACCTTCTTTTGGGGTCCTGGTAACAGAATCCTACTATTTAAGAGTTGAGGGGGCTTAATGTACTTAGAGGCCCAGGGGACTTAGTAAGTAGTAAGGTTCCTTGAAGGGTTCCTGAAAAAGGGATCTATAAGGGTTCTATAAGGGGGATTAGGGTTACTTAGAGGCCCAGGGGACTTAGGAAGTCGGTTATAATTAGCGTTATAACTGGGGTAACTCCATTCAGGGTACTTACAACTCTACGTATAACCTACTTACTAAGTCCCCTGGGCCTCTAAGTAGGAACCTGATTAAGAAACCCTGGGCCTATAAACCCCAAAATAGTAGGATTCAAAATAAGGAACCCCAATTAATAAAGGCCCAAGGTTTCTTAATCAGGTTCCTGCATTATAAGAGTTTAGGATTAGGGGTTTAGGTTTGGGGTTTAGGGTTTAGGGTAGGGTACTCGAATAAGGGGTTTCTAGGGAGTTTAGGATTATAAAGGGCTTATGAGAGTTCAGGATTATAAAGGGCTTCTGGGAGTCTAGGATGATAAAGGGCTTATGAGTCATGAGAGTTTAGGACCAGGTTTACTCGGGTTTTGGTGTTCAGGGTTTCCGGTTCTTAGGATCTTGAAGGTAACGGTTTACGCAGCTGTTCAGTGAGGTTGGCGTTTGAGTCATTTGTCTTGCAATGTGGGTGGGGCTCAATGTAGCCTCTGGGTCCGTGCTGTAGTCCGTCAGCGCGGTTCGGCCTCTCCTCCGGAATTTCATCGCCGAAATGCGTGTTGAAACAACGCGCCCGCCCGGAACTGTGAAGTTGCTTCTGCGAGCTGCAGAGAAGGCCAACCTTCTCCTCGTCATCGGCTTGGTTCAGCTAGCAGCGTGGCTACAAAAAAGCAGGCAAGTTAGGGCTTGAGGTTGCAAGTTTGAGCGGTTGAGGATTTCGGGCTGCAAGTGTGGGGCTTTGGCGACAAGTATCCCGAAAACACATAATTGTTCTTGCTGATTTGGGGAGATCGGAATCCACTGTGAGACTTTGGGTCGCCTGGGCGTTCCTCGACTCTACTATGGTTTACATGTTCTAACACATAATCCCAAGGGGTAATTTCACATGTCTGAATTCTGTTAATACTATGGGTCTAAGGGGCTTATTGGCTAGGGTCTAGGCGATCTCACAAGTCCCGGTGCAAGGGATTTCGTGTTCAGGTTTTCGAGTTTATGGTTTAGGGCTCGGGGTTTAAATCCGGGTTCTTATTTTAGGAAAATTGTTAGGAGATCAGGATTCCAATCTCGCGGTTCAAGTTCGTTTGACCCGGTCCCTAAACCTTAACCCTAAAACCTTGAACTCTAAAACCCTAAACCCTAAAGCACTAAGATCCTAAACCCTAAGCCCTCTGAAGCTACCACATCGCAACGGAGAGAACGCCTGCCTTTCCCAGGTGCAAATCCTCGTGAGCTTCCAGGAGTGCTTGTCTGCTTATCCAAAGGTCTAGGCTTTAGCATCCAAGCCTTCACAAGCAGTCTTCGTTCATTCATATATGCATATAAACACAGGTCTAAAATGTTGAGTAGCATATCTAACTACCTATATGTATCTGTACAAACAGACATATACATCTACATCTACATGTATACGTACATGTACACACACACACACACATATATATATATATATATATATGTGCCAATGCATCTATGCATATGTATACACATACACACATATACGCGTAAGGTGGGCCCCGCATTTCCGAGACCTGAGGCCCTCCACGTGCCAGCTCCTTGAACTGTAAGTCCAATCTAAAGCCAGGACCCGGGGGTTAGGGTTTAGGGTTTAGGGACCCCTAGAGATTTCTTTTGCCTCGACGTCCTAGTCAGTGATCGTTGGGGTGATGTGTTGTTGCCTGATATTCCGGCACTTACTTCCCGAATCTTTAAGGATCTTGGAGTTGTAGCCACGTGGTCGTTGCATCCTGAAACTTGGGATGACCAGTTGATCAGTTTTTGCAATCTGGGGTAGCCGTGTGGCACGAGCCCACAGCACAGTCGGCCCCTCAGTTCCTGGCATATGCGTAGTCCAGGTGTAAAAGGGTATAGGGGTCTTAATAATTAGAATAGGGCTTTGGGGCCGATTATACCATAATTATCCTAAGAGGCCCCTGGAGCCTGTCCGAAGTCCTTGAGTTGTAGTCCGCTCAACAACTTAGCGAACAGCAATCACTGCTAATATTGTTCCGTAAGGTTCTTTATTCAGTGACAGTATAACATACAGACAACGACCCACAGGGGTTCGTCGGCGCGCCGAAGCCGATCCGAAACACCAACCGCCTCTAGCCGCGAAACCTTCATTAACCTCAAACTCTGCGCGACTTCCAGGAGTATTTGGTGGGGACGATCTCCTTCGACCGCTTTTGGCACTTTTGTGTCATATCGTTGCTGGGCTCTAACTCTAGAGGTTGACGCTCGTTTTGGGCGGATTTTGGTGTGCAGGGTATGTCAAGATGACCACCCACGGCTGGCCCAAATCTTTGAGGTTCGTGCTGTGAACCCAGAGACCGCGACATCCCAAAATCAAAGAACATACTTGAAATTATAGTAGGATTTAAAGTATACGTATTCCTTAATCAGGGTTATATTGGAGTCGCTGTGAACAGAGTTCTCGTTCTGCTGCGCTTAGCTACTTCTCAGCACCACTACTAAAGCTGCTACTTCCGCCATTACCATTATGCTACTGCTACTGCCATTCCTACTACTGCTGCTGCTGCTGCTGCTGCTGCTACTACTACTACTACTACTACTACTACTACTACTACTACTACTACTACTACTAGTACTACTAGTATGACTCCGATCCCGGCTCCTACATGCATGAACTTTTGTGCGCATAAAATCTCGGTCCTACTCTTCCCTTGGCGTGTCACAATGTCTACTACCAGTATTACAACCAGAATGATAAGAGTAGCAAGAGTAAGACCACTTCCATGCCGCTACTACTACCGATGGTGGTGGTGGTGGTGGTGGTGGTGGTGGCGGTAGCAGCAGTAGCGCGAAACCCCAGCACGCAAGTCTTTTCCGAGGCTGATGGGCCAGGTGATCCCAGAGGTTTGCGTTCTTTTGGGTGCCTTGGGCTGCAAAGAGAGGCATTTTCACGCAATCTCGGACCTTGGGATATTGTGTCTGGATTGTTTTTTCGAGTGGTTGATAGGGCTACTGTAGTTTCAAGTTTCGGTTTCGACGTTTTGCATGCATGGGCTCTCAGGCTTCTTCAGGGCTGAGTGCCCCTCGCGACTGTGCTTTGCAGGTGAATATTTCACTTCAACCGATTACGCACCAGTCCGATCACTGGCTATGAATGCGGACCTGGGGATCGTGCAGGTCGTCCTTCAAGGCTTTGTGCCGGAAGCGCTTCCGGGTTTAGGGTTTTGGATGAGTCGCAATAGGCCTGGATGCAAAAGGGTATAGGATGAGTCCTCCACGCCTATCAACCTAGATATAAAGATGTGCAGCTCAAGCCGCACAACAAATTGATAGACATGACGTGTCACAGCCTTATGAACAACACCCTGCCTTCTCCAAAAAATGCCAGCCCTCGCCCTTGGCCTGTAAACCGGGCCCCAAACTTCAGGCTGAGGCTGCAACCCGTTGACGGTCTCGCCACTGTAAGGGTCTAAGTAATCACCAATACTTTTTTTTGCATTCTGGTATAATGGGCCCCAAAACCCTATTCTAGTTCTAATTATTCATTGAGGCCTCTAAGATATTGTGAAGATATAACTGGTAAAGACAATATTTCTTACCATTTATATAACACCTCTCCGCACCCCGAACCGACTCATGAAAAAACAACCGCAGAGGATACAGCAAGAACATCAAACAATGTCGGAAGCAATATTGTGCGAACGACACGTATGGGAGTGTTCTCTGGGATAAAGTGGACTCTCACACATATTTAGGCAGACACCTTCGTCATAGTTAATCACAAACAGGTTTCAAGCTTTAGCTGAACAAAGGCACGCGCCGGCCTGAAGCTTCGGAGCTTTAAATCCGAATACCTGAACCCACCAAGCTGTGGCCTAGTAGCTGAGTGGATAGACTTTACTCGTTTTAGGATAATACTACCCACTATAGAACTGAAAGTGTACACTTTTGGGGGCTTATGAACTCAGCCACTAGGTGTGGGTCTGCTACTGCCGGGTTTTCGTTTAGGATGCACTGTTGAGATCGGTTCAGGCTCAGGAAAGCCATTTTGACATTACAAAAGACCGCAACTGCAGGCCTTCAGGTTCAAGTTTGTTACGGAGTTCTTGTGGCTTTCAAAGCAGGGGTCACGCCGCACATCTGACAGCATTGAGGTTTATGTATCATGGTTATCAGCTGGGAGTTTCCGAAAACTAGGGGTACCTTATTTGGGTCCTTATAATAAGGATCCTACTATTTAAGACATGTTTTAGCCTTGAAAATTTCGTGTCATGGCTATCGGTTATCAGTTAGGTCACAAGACATGGTTGCCATTGTGGGTTCTTAACTGCGGTTTTGGTCTTGTGCAGCACTCGAATGCTGCGGCTTTTGCGCGCAGG